TGTGGTCACCTCCGGGGCAGGCGGGAATTGAACTCATGCGGAAGTGGCTTTAGCTTCTCAGTGCAGTGCTTTAACCTGCTGCGCCACCAGGGAGGCCATCACATATCATTCTTAACCCTGGACCGCTGGGTGCCCTCCCCTCTTTGTTCTCACCCCCATTCTCCTCTCCCCCTCTTAATTCTGCAGTCATATTTCTAGGTTTAGACACTTTGATTAGTTACCAGATTACAAATATATTAGTTTTTATGAGCTGCACAATCTCTGTCAGGATTTATTTTCTGTCACCGAAATACTTAAACAAACATGGTTGTGTTCAATGAAACTTTCCACTTAGATAATCAGGTGGGAAGCTGAATCTGGCCTGTGAACCATTTGGTTGATCCTTAGTGTAGTGCATAACTTCTAACTTGGGATCTTGGAAAAAGTGTTGTGTAGAAAGTAGAAAAGCTATTGGCACTTGTTAAGTGTTCTTTGTTTGAAACTTTATTATCCACACAATCTTTCTCATCTCTTAAACCTACAAAAGAACTGGTTGCTACTAGCAACCACAGAAAAATGCCCTTTCTGCTTTATTCTGGACAAAACAAATGGCTAGAGGGTGAGGGAGATAGGTGAAGAGTGATGCAGAGGATACACAAAGGCATGAAATGTGATGGGAAATAGGATACCAGTTGTTTAGTCCTGAACTGATGTTATGAGACATGTTTGATGCTGGAATGCTATGCATTTATTGATGTGTGAATATGGGTATATGTGTTATAATTTATGGTTTTTTTTTTTGTTTTGTTTTGTTTTTAAGATTTATTTATTTGTGCATACAGAACTGGGGTACAGGCCAGAGACGTGGAGGGTGAGAGGATTCACCAGAGACAGAGTGGGGAGCAGAACAGGCAGATCGACAAAGTACACTGCTGAGGGGAGCAGCGGGCGGGTCAGGAGAGGTCTGCCACGCCATGTGGTCACCTCCGGGGCAGACGGGAATCGAACTCTTGCGGAAGCGGCTTTAGATTCTCAGTGCTGTGCTTTAACCCGCTGCGCCACCAGGGAGGGCCCTATGGTTTTTTTTTTAAAGATTTATTTATGCATACAAGAACTGGGTTGTAGACCAGAGGTGCAAGGGAATGAAAGGATTCACCAGAGACAGAGTGAGGAGCAGAACAGGTGGATCTACTGAAATACACTGCTGAGGGGAGCAGTGGTGAGAGGCGAGGTCTGCTGATCCATGTGGGTCACACCCCTGGTTGGGGATTGAACTCATGCTGCAATGGCTGGTGAATAGCTTGATAGCTCTGTGTCTTTAACCCCTGTGCCACAGGGGAGGACCCAGTTTACTGTTTTTAATTATTTCCAATTCAAAATTTGAGGCCCAATGTCTTAATAATTTTTTAAGGAATATAGATTATTATTATTATTATTATTATTATTTTTCTAACCAGAAAGAACTCCTTTGTGATCTGGTTGGGATTTCACCCTCCTCCAGCCATGATGTGCTTAAGGAAGCTGTCTTTCAAAAACTAGGAGGAGATGTTACTCAGTTGGAGGCCACGGAAAGGTAGGCACCCACCGCTCCACCTGGAGCAAATTATGTTCCATCCATGATTACTTAGTTCTTTCTAGACAAAGAACGATTGAAATAAAACCAAACAGCTTACATTTGTATTTGATTCATTTCTGTTCTAACGTTAGCCTGCTGGAGTGGAATATGTGCCATATTCACTAGGGGATAAAAAGTGGACACAGAAAAGAATTCAATGGTAATTACAACTTGGAAAATACTGATTTTGAGACAGTATCACTCAGCAATGGCACATTTGCTGGTATCACTGACGCAGAGATTTAACTTTTTATTCATCTCAGAGGGCTTTTGCAACATCATGGACTTCCAGTGTATCCATTCTGCTGTGGGGAGCACTTTCTGGAGGAGTCTGGGGATGATTCTAAAGGTTAAAACATTCCTACTGGTATTGCTATTTTATGGTTTAGATAAGTTCAATAACTTGGACTTTCAATGGGTGAATCTTTTCAAGAGCAACTCAAGGACCACTCTTTGGTTTCCTCTGTGAAAATATGTCTAGGACTTGAACTAACACAGCCATCTCTTATGCTTCTTAGGTTGGGTTTACTTGGGGATGAACAAGTTCCTCGGGCAGAATCCATTGTGGATGCACTCTCCAAGTATTTGGCCATGAAACTTTCCTATGGTAGGCCATGGGCTACAAGCTAAACATCCCCGAGAAGGGCTGTAAGATGCAAGCAGTTAATGAATTAAATTGACAGGCTGGTGTCAGGAGTGGAGACGTATGTTACAGGGAAAACATGCTGGGCTCTTTATCTGTAGGAAAGAATCAGAGAACTATTAAGAATGAATGTGGGTACTATGGGAAAGAAAAAATAAAGATTGGTTTACATTCAGTTTTCATTAGAGAAATTGTGCATTAGAGAAACATTTTGGGAAGAGAAGTGGGTGACCGCTACAGTAATCCTCTCATGCCTGTAGACATATAGACAAGCCATGGTGATGCCATTCTAGACAGAGGAATGTGCTCAGAGCTGTCATTTCCTTGAGTTTGTCACTTGTTTGTTGGGCTATAAAAGAGTATGGGTCATTGTTTAAAGACAGGGAAAGTTGAGAGCAAAGGGTAGCAGCGAGAGATGAAATGCCACATTGGAACTGTAATGAGACTGATTTAAAAATGTCTATTTGTTTGAAGGCCCTGGCGAGAAAGATATGATTGTGATGAGAGATAGCTTTGGAATCAGACATCCTTCTGGACATTTGGAAAATAAAACTATTGATCTTGTGGTTTATGGGGATGTGAATGGCTTTTCAGCAATGGCTAAAACAGTGGGGTTTCCCACTGCTATGGCAGCCAAGATGTTGCTTGATGGTAAGTTCTTTCGTTTGAGGACTGAGTCTGTCTTCATATCTTCTCCAGATTGTCTAGTGACTGAATGTTAAATAATTATGCTTAAGTATAATACCAGCATTCTCTCTAAGTGAGTCATCTCATAAAATCCATATATTGGCTGACTTAGTCAATTGTAAGTGAAACAGCACAGACTTTGCAGTGAGACCTGATCTCTGCCCAGTTTAGTCACAAGATGGTGCAGTGATAGAGTATAAAGTTAGTCAGTCTCTCTGAGCCAGAGTTTGATTATCTTCAAAGTGGATTTTGTTCTAATTCGTAGGGTAGTTGTGATCTTAAATAAAACACTGACTTTCTACCCCATTGAGGAAGACCCAGGGTATGTTAACTCTTCTCTTCCTTTCCTTGTTTTTCCTGGTTAGTGATGGTAACAGTGAAAAAACTGAGGATATTCACTTTCAGGTTTTCAAAGTTATAGGCTATGTTTTATTAAGCTTACACTTCCATATATCACTAGTATTCAATAAATATTTTGGACCAAGTCATTTCAAATCTCAGCTTTCTGTTCTTCCCTGATGATCATACCAACATTCAGCGAGCATTGCCTATGAATGCCATACCCCATTTGGTTCTTTTAAAAGCATAAGGGTGGCAGGAGACATAAAAGCATATAAATGTGCAACAATGAGAAAACATATCTACACAACCTACCAGCTAGTATCAAATTAAACCATCCACCAGGTCCTGGAGAGCCAGAGTGAAGATGAGAGAGGGAGAAGATTATCATAAACTTGAAGACAAGTGTCTGGCCTTTGGCTCAGTCATCTAGTAGTTGCCTATGCTCAGATAATCAGAATGGTTTGAATTCATTCTATTCTATGGTGTTGAGCTTTTCCCCCTTTTATAAAGATTTATTTATTTATTTATTTATGCATACAGAACTGAGGTACAGGCCAGAGGTACAGGAGTGGTGACAGGTTTCAGCAGAGACAGAGTGGGGAGCAGAACAGGCAGGTTGATGAAGTACACTGCTGAGGGGAGCAGCAGGCGAGGCAGGAGATGTCTGCCAGGCCATGTGGGTCTTCTCCCTGGCTGGGGATCGAACTTGCACTGAAGTGGCAGTGGTCAGCCTCATAGTGCTGTGCTTTAACCTGCTGTGCCATCAGGAAGGGCCGGGGTCTAGCTTTTATATTTTTTGGATAGATTTATTTTATTTATTTGTACAGATAAGAGCTGGGCAGTAGGCCAGAGGAGTGTATGGTGAGAGGATTCACCAGAGATAGAGTGGGGAGCAGAACAGGCAGATTGACCAAAATATACCACATAGGGGAGCAGTGGGGGAGAGACAGAAGTCTGCTTCACCAGGTGGATTCATGTTGCAGTTGGCTGGTGGTAGCTTCATAGTGCTGAGACTTTAACTCCTGCACTACCAGGGAGGCCCACTTTTTATATTTTTAAAAAATGACATTAGCAAATAGAAGCAGACTAGTTAGGTTCATTTTGCTTTCTTGTTGTAGTTGAACTTTGGATTGTCTTTGCAGTAGTCAGTGCTGCAAAGCATTTAAATTCTGAGACTGTCTCTAATTCCAGTCATGCTTTCAACCCTGTTTCCTTATAGAATGTTGATTAAGTGATCATTTGATAAGGGGCATTTAAGCAGCTCTTTTAAAAATGCCTAGGCCTCTAATAGTTTCTTGATTCTAAATGGTCTCTTGCTGTGAAAATTAACCCTTAACATCACTTTTTAAAAAATGGATTACACATTAATTTTCTTGCAGGTGAAATTCGAGCTAAAGGCCTGATCGGACCCTTTTCGAAGGACATCTACAGACCAATATTGGAGCGAATTAAAGCAGAAGGCATTATATATAATGTGCAGAGCACAATTAACCCATAATTGGGAACAATACTGTGTTTTTATCTTCCCAGGTGACATAGTTCTGAACACTTGTAGAATAAACATGTTTGCCAATGTGCTATTTTAAAGCATAAAGCATGGTATGTTTTGATTAAGTTAATGGAATAGTGTCTTGAAATGTAAATCTCTATTTTAACTTGAAAGCAACAGTAGCAACTACCAGAGAACTTTAATCATTCTACTACATGTATATAAAGTGACAATGATTGTGCTCTTTGTTAATTTATTGTGAAATTTTTTCTTATAAGAATATATTTTCCTAAAATCATCAGCTAGTTCTTTCCTGTTGGTAACAAAATTTTCATGCAGCTGTATTTTTGTATTTTTTAAATCAAATCATTTAGACTTGATGATTACTTACAATCATTTGCAATAATGCTATTTTATGCCTTTTGGGTATGATTTATTTGGCATATACATTTCCTACAGTTTTCTTTTGAATGTTTAAGTCAGATTGAATCCTAATATACATAACCCCTTCATTAGACACAGTTATTTTGCAAGACCCAATAGCCTTTCATGGTATAAAACACTCAGAAAATTATCAATAAATATTGATAAGAACTTCAAACTGATGAAGAACATTTGTGCAAATCCAATAACTAATATTATGCATAAAAATGAATAACTGAAGATTTCTCCTCCAATCATGAACAGGGTAAAAGATATCTGCTCTTGATAATTCTATTCAACTTGCGTCAGATCTAGCCAGTGGAAGGAGATAAAAGACATTCAGATAAGAAAGGAAGTAGTGGCCTTCCCTGGTGGTGCAGCAGGTTGGAGCGCTGCACTGTGAAGCTAAGCCAAGCTGTGGCCACTTCAATGTGTGTTTGATCCTCGCCCCGGAGGTGACCCACATGGCGCAGTGACCTCACCTGTCTCGCCCGCTGCTCCCCTCAGCAGTGTACTTTGTCGATCTGCCTGTTCTGCTCCCCACTCTGTCTCTGGTGAATCCTCTCACTGTCCCTGCACTGCTGGCTGTACCCCATTTCTGTATGCATACATAAATAAATCTTTAAAAAAAAAAAGTAGTAGTAAAACTATATCTGCAATTGTTTGATGTACATAAAAAAAATCCAAAGCAATATTAAAGAAAACATGTGAACTAACAAGTGAGTTCAGGGAAGTTGTAGGATACGAGATTGAACTTCTATATGATATCAATGAATGAAATGATGTTTAAAAATTATATTTATAATAACTTAAAAATAACAAATTAGGAATACATTTGAGAATCTAAAAATAACCCTACATTTATGGTCTTGATTTTTGAAAGGGGTGCTACGAATTCAGTAGGAGCAAAGAGTGTTTTTATTGAATAGTCTGGAACAACTGCAGTCATGTAATTGGGCCCTTACCTCACGCCATATATAAAAATTAGCCCCCCCCCAAAAAAAAAAATTAGCCCCAGGTGGACCAAAGACCTATATGTGAGAACATGTACTATACAACTTTTAGAAGAAGACATAGGCATAAATTTTCATAACATTGGATTAGGCAATGGTTTCTTCAATGGTGCTCGAAGCAAAGATATAAGGGGGGAAATGGATAAAATGGATGTCAACAAAATTAAAATTTTATGTACTTCTATGGAATCAGCCTGGCAATGGAAATCATTTTATCACAATAGATTGAAAAGATGTCATGATCAAAAGCAGCCTGTGCCCGAATGAACGCTTTGGCTGCTGTGTTGAGAGTGAGTGAAGAAAGGACAAAAGGGGAGATATTCAGAGGAGATAACCAAGAGGAAGGACTGTGGGCCTCACTTCTCAATAGGATGGGTTTTCAAAATGTCATGTGGGATGAAAGCTATTGCTGGTCAGAGGGTTACTCCCTGGGAGTGGGCTGGCAAGTTGGTGGAATCTGTGAATACACAGGAATGACCCCAGTCACCAGCCTTTGCTCATTGGCCTTAAGGATTTTCCAACCATTTCATTTTTTTCTCTAGGTGGTCCTTTGACTCATTTTATGTATACCCCAGAGCTTAGAACTGGGTATACCATACAGGGACAAGGTGGGGTTTTTCCATTTATTTTATAAAAGCCTATGCAATACAGCTTTAGCTCCCTGAGTCCATTAAAGCACTTAATAAACTAATATTTTTCATTAAGAGCCTTAAGGCTATACAATAGCCTCAATATGTATACTCAATGCATAGCTTTATCAAACAATTTGGTGGCAAGTTAAAAAATACTTGTCCTTTTTATGTCTCTCTGTGGAAGAACTGAAACAACTTCTCTAGTTTGAAACAAAATAATAGGTATCTGAGAAAAATGGTGAATACAGCATTGCATAGGAAAGAATTGTAAATTAGCCTGTTTGGAAAGTTTCTGAAGGTCATGCTATGTCTCCTGGGACCTGCTTTGATTATGTCAGTTGCTGATGGACAAATTTAAAGTTACCGTTGTGTATGTAATGCGATGTTTCAATCTCACACCTACATTTTTCTTACTCTCACTTTCAAATCATTTTTCTTTTAAAAAAATGATTGCCTTAAATTGTTAACTATAATTTAATGCCAAGGACACCTAGATTCTTAAAACTGCTGTAGTGTGGTTCATTTATATGCTTGAACATTTGCTACCACCTACTCAAACACCCAATATTGTGCTAATGAGGAGAAGACCTCTAAGGTACCAGAATATTTTGCAATTAGCAAGTGAGTGGAAGATATTTAATCATGATTTATAATAATAAGAGAGTATGTTTTGTTTATTTTGATAAATGTGTAGATTTTCTCACTTTCCTTAAGAAGTTAAATTTAATCTTAGATGCTATTTGTGAGCACAGTTCAATTCCAATAAAATATTTTAAAATGTATCTTCTTATAAAGAGATTTTGCTTTCCAAATTTTGCATATTAGAAAACATACTAAGTAATTTTATATGCTAACAAATTATAGAGTTTCAATTAGAAATATAAAAATTAAGAAAGGTTCCTATTAAGCAAATGAACTAGAATGTGTATGTATTAAATGTTTGCTTTAATTTTATGAAAAAATCAGCTGCCCTGAATTCTCAAGGAGTATCCTATTGGGTCTAGATAGACTTTATAGTTTTGGTGCATTTAACTAAACATGTGTTATAATGATCCTTAAAACTTGCTTAAAGTTGAAAAACTACTCCATATAACTTAAAATTGGAGACAAATTCTGTTCAGGAGGCTTTTAATTGGGCACATTTATAATGGTGCTACAGGAAAAAAAAAACTAAAATAGACATATTTTATTAAACGTGTTGAATGTATTAAATATGGAAGAACATTGCTGAAGAGAATATCAGTTCTCCCAGACTATTGAAGAGAGTGTATCTATTCTAGGGAAGAATCATTTCATTCATTCATGGACTCTTCATTTACTTGAGAAGTATTGTGTGCCTTTAACCGGCCTATACCTTTCTGGTTGAGGGAATATAGAAGTAAACAAGAGAGAGTCACATTTCCTCTTCTAGTGGAACTTACATACTAATGGCACAGACAGACAACAAGCAAGTAAGTCTGGAAAACAGCTGTGCTACAGAGGAAAATAAAGCGAGAGACGGAGAGGTCCCGCCTCCAGGCGCCTGTAGAGGGCGCACGGCCATTCAGCTGCCAGCTCCTGTCCTTCCAGATAGCCGCACTGAATGCTTGCAAAAGCTTCCTTGTGAGAAGGGGGTAATAGTTTAGACAGAAAGATTTGTAAATGTTGTGATAGGGAGATTTTTGAGCAGAAGCCTGAAACCAAGTGTAAAACACTTGAGAGTTAACTGTACAATTTTTTTTTTTAAGATTTATTTATTTGTGCATACAGAACTGGGGTACAGACCAGAGGCTCAGAGGCGGTGAGAGGCTTCACCAGAGACAGAGTGGGGAGCAGAACTGGCAGAAGTACACTGCTGAGGGGAGCAGCGGTCGGGTCAGGAGAGGTCTGCCACGCCATGTGGCCAACTCCGGGACAGGCGGGAATTGAACTCATGTGGAAGTGGCTTTAGCTTCTCAGTGTTGTGCTTTAACTCGCTGCGCCACCAGGGAGGGCCAACTGTACAATTTAAAAAAAAGGATTTATTTATGCACTGACGTGGCTGTGACGCGCCATAGGGAAGGCGTTAACTGTACAATTTTTTTGTAAAGTTAAAGAGCATTAAGACAGGCCCTCCCTGGTGGTGCAGCGGGTTAAAGCACAGCACTAAGAAGCTAGGGCCACTTCAGCATGAGTTCGATCCCCACCCAGGGAGGTGATCCACATGGCGTGGCAGACCTCTCCTGACCGGCCCGCTGCTCCCCTCAGCAGTGTGCTTCTTGGTTCATCTGCCTATTCTGCTCCCCACTCTGTCTCTGGTGAATCCTCTCACCGCCCTTGCACCTCAGCTCAATATGCATAAATCTTTTTGTTTTTTTTTAAAGAGTATTAAGACATATAAAAATGTTTATATAGTCTCTTAAAGACACTTTAGAGGAACTGGTACGGAGGCAAAATCCTAAGTGTGGTAAAAACTGGTTAAATGAAGAAATGTTCATCAGTGTTGAGAGTTGGAAGAAGCTGCTAAGAACCGGAAGTCTAATATCAGGAACTTGATCACAGCAGCCGCTGGACTGCTGTAGAACAGGGCTTTCCTTACTACTGTTCGTGTTCTGTGCCGGACGATTGATTCCCTGTTGTGCAGGCTGTTAGGTGCATTGTAGAATTTTTAGCAGCATTTCTAGCCTTTGCCCACTAGATGCCGCTGTCACCTCCCTTCAGCCGTAAAAATGTCCAGATAGCGCTGACTGACCCCTGTGGGACAAGATTCCTGGCTGAAAACTACTCTCCTAGACATAGTATTATAGACTTCACAGTGATAGGTTTACAGATTCTATGCAATAAAAATGCTTATGTAGATATAATTAGAGTAAAATATATGTTCACAACAGGCATAGTTATGTATATGGATATGGATATATATATGGATATATAACTATATGGATAAAAGCTATGAATATTACAACGCCATGAACACAGTGTTGGTAGTGGCTAGAAATAATTGCCAGATTTACTTACGAAGCTTAATTTACATTCACTTTGTCTTAAAATTGTTGTCAAGAGATGAGGAAAGATTGATATATCTGACAGGAATTGTCTTTAAAAAAATAAGTTTCAGCACATATTTATTAAAATTTGTTTCCAGAATGTTTAGTCCTTGCACTATTACTTTCTCTTAGAGGAGATTCTGCAAACTCACTAATAAATTATCACGAAAGGAAAACAAATGAGTCTGTCAAGATGGCGGCAGAGTGAAGGCTCCAGGTTCACTGTCTCCACACACACACAACTAAATTACACCTAAACACAGCAAATGACACACCTGAAAGAAATCGGTGAGAGTAATTAAGCTGTTTTTAGAGTATAACCCAGATGGGGGAGGGGCTGCTGGCCACAAGAAAGCGGCTCGCTGTTAACGCTGTTTCCAATTCAACGACATAGAACCACACTGGAGACTTTAATAAACAGGGATAGAGAAGGGTGTACACAAAATAAGCAAGCAGGACATAGGGTGCTCAATGGGCCACTACATTTGCCGATGTTCTGATACCATATGTCGAGAAAAGCTCAACAACGACAACAAAAAACTACCAGAAAGAGTAAATTCATATAACAAAATGGTGGGCTACAAAGTCAACTTACCAAAATCTGGTGTTGTTTTATACACAAATAATGAGCAGAAGAAAAGAAATTAAGAAAATAATTCCATTCACAATCATCTCAAAAAGAATCAAACACTTAAGAATTAACCTAACCAAGAAAGTGAAGGGCTTGCACAATGAAAATCACATGATGCACTAAAAGGACAAAGCTTGTCTCTAAAGAGATGGAGAGATAGTGAAAATGATTACCAAAAGCAATATATAGATTTAATGCAATCCCCATGAATATACAAACTATATTTTTCAGGAAAATACAACAAGCAATTATAAATTGATGATAATATTTATATTTATTTATTTTTTTCAATGCCTTGGATAAAACCCATTTTAAACAATGTTGGGTAAGGTGTTATTCTCATAAAAACATCTTTCAAAACACATGTATTTCTATTTTCCATAAAAGTTAAAACTACATGCTAAAACTGTTAATCACTGAGAAAACATGAAAGAATAGTAAGAACAGATAATGAACTACATCATTAAACTAATTACACAGAACTAGAAAACTGATTCAGTAGTAAAATATAAAAATCTACAATTATAAATATAAATTTGGTCCATGGAGACACTAAGGCAGTATTTACAGTAAGTATCAGATTATTTCTACTTCAGGTGAATACTGCAGTTGCAAGTGTTGAAGATCACCGGGAACAGTATTTTATTTACAGCCTACTATATTAAAAGTTATATTTCTAGCAAATCTGATGAGGGGTACAAATAGAGCAAAAATTCTGAAACAGAGACATGTTTTCTAGCGTTGGGAATTCCTACTCTCTAGAAAATGAAGTATTCTGTTAAAATCAATATGAAAAAAATACCACAATTCCATCCTTAAAGATACTGTAAAATTCAATCATTTTAGGTTAAACACAGTAAGTGAATTACAAGAAGTTTTGCAAAAAGGCACACATTGTTAATGATGTCAATTTGGCAGGAGATTCCTATGTGAAAGTTACTGTCAGGAGATGAGAAGTAAACCGATAACAGAACTGAACTGTTTTTCCAGTCTAACTTCAGAAGGAGGAGAGCAGTGCTTGGACAGGGGCCCCCTCACCCCTTTGAGGTTAAACTAAAGACTCTAAGCTCTCGGCTATATTCCCGCAGGCCAACGCTGCACCATTGCTGTCCAGGGAGGCGGAGGGGTTCTCTTCCTGCCGGCTGCTCACCAGGCTGAGGACTGCTTTATACAGGAACTGATACTGCTCCTAGAGGACAGAGAATGGGGTCGTCGACAGAAAACTCAGACAACAATATGTTTGTAAAAAGGGCAATTTTTAGTTACTGTTTGTTCATGGAAGGTGTGGTGTTCAGGGCTCTGTCAGCAGAGATGACAACCTACATTCAGGTCTTCTGATTAAATTAAAAGTAAGTGCAACTGGTCAACATTCATTGACCTAGAAAGTTGGCCCACGTTCCTTTCTTGCTTATTTTACCTCATGGAACCAGAAAGTGATGTGACAGGGCTCTGATACCCACTAATCAACTTAAAATCCTTTGGCACTGGGCACTGATGACCCATACACAAACAGGTTATCCGTTCGTGTTTCTTCAGTTGTTACAAAATCCTTTGGCTTGGTCTACTGATGGAAAGGCCTCAGAAAGGATTGTAGAGCAGTTAAGAAACTCATGCATATTAAGGCCTTTCTCAACAGCCACTGTTTACACTCCACCAGCCTGACCAGCCCTACGCTCTGCTCTCCACTTTGAGGAAAGGTAGTGTGTGCCTTGCTGTGCCTCAGTGCAGAGGCACAGAAGAATAAAGTAGTTTTCTTCTTGCAGATGCCAATTTAGAAGGCAGCTGAAGAGAATGTGAGCTAGTGACTAGCATCACAATGGAAAGCCGTTAGGACACGTGTAGAAGTCCATCATTAACACTCTCATACACTGTGTAAAGCTGTTTCACACAGGGCAAACTTGATGTATCACAAGTGGCCTGAATGTGACTTTTACTAGAGCTCCTCTGGCGTGTATATGTGCCAGGGTGACTTTGCTCTCTAGCCAACCGGGCTGTGCTGGGGCTGAAGACTGACCATTTATAACATACATACACAGACTGGGAGCTGTAGGCTTCTCCCATGGAGACAGCTGTATTAACACCTCTATTATCTTTCCTTTGTTTCTACAATAATTAAAAAGCTTCCAAATTATTTTCAGAGACTTAGCACTACAAATGCACAATGTCTTTTTTGTGATTGTGCAAGTCTATCGCTTTCTTTTTGAACCATATGCAGGAAGTATCCATTTGTTTCCATTCAGAAATTTGATTTGACTTGAGGAAAAAAAATGAGGAGTCTTTGAATATGTCTCTGACTATTCTCTGAAGTTAGGAAGAACTCAAAGTAGGGGAAAATAACCATTGTATTGGCTGGATAAGTAAGATTAGGTGGTGACTCCACTGAGGCTATTTTATCACTTTTCTGAAAGATTTAAATGTTTATTATTGCATGTCTATGGATTGTAGACTATACCTTGAAATTCAGCTTGAAAAGTACAAGGTAATGTTACCATTCGATGTGTGTTTTTTTTTTTTTAATATATGTGATAAAATGATTCTGGCAGCCCCTAGGAAGTAAGTTATATTCTAACAATAGAAAGTAGTTTCACTTCATTACTACTTACAATGTCAGAAAATACTCCAGGCCTCATCAAATTGATCATCTTGGCTACCTGGTAGACATCCACGGAATTTTCTTTTTCTAGTTGGTGCATAAGGGTTGTTAGGGCACAGAAAGTCCCCGCTGTCACACCTCCATGCCTTGAAACAAAGGGAAGGGACACAGACCCATTCAGATGCATCAAACATTCACGTTTGAAACTCCCAGCTCAGGTAGCCGTAAACATTTAATAGCAAGAACACTACATTTGTAATAAATTGTCTCTTTACTCAATAGTGTGTAGGAATCTGGTTTAAACCTAAACATTGGCAAGTATTCGTGATATAAGTAATGAGATATTTTACAGAAGTTTAAAAATTTTATACTATGGAAGGGGTTATGTCTAGAAATCAAAAGGATCAAGCTAAAGGTATAATATTAAATTTATGTGTCATGGTTAATAAGTATGTAACATACACTGTAGCTTTGCATGTTTTATTTGTTCATAAACCTAGATTAAGATTCCTGTTTTGGCCCTCCCTTGTGGCGCAGCGGGTTAAAGCACAGCACTGAGAATCTAAAGCCACTTCCGCATGAGTTTGATTCCCGCCTGCACCGGAGGTGACCACATGGCGTGGCAGACCTCTCCTGACCCACCCGCTGCTCCCCTCAGCAGTGTACTTCGTCAATCTGCCTGTTCTGCTCCCCACTCTGTCTCTGGTGAAGCCTCTCGCCACCCCTGAGCCTCTGGCCTGTACCCCAGTTCTGTATGCACAAATAAATACATCTTAAAAAAAAAAAAAAGATTCCTGTTTCAAGTAAATGAAACACATAGCACCTTTGCTTATCTCACAGGAAGATAAAGGCTGAGAAATGCCTCCTTGACTGCACCTGTGAAAAACTATAACCCTGAGTCATCAAACAGAAGTGTTCTGGGCAGACAATACAAGAGTATGCTTCTGCCTTTAACTGGAGCTTCTGGAGACATGACGAAAAAAACCAATGAAACTAGCCTGAGTCAGCTTTGTTCACAAGAAGCAGATGCTCTGTCCTAGCTTGATTCACCACAATTGCTTCAAAGCCTTAGGCTGGTACAAAGAAAACAGAAATATACATGTCCAAAGAGCACAGAAGGTGAAAAGATTGAAAGTATGGAACTTACTCATCATGAACAATCATGGGTCCATCTCTGTTGGCAGCTTCTTCTTTGATAATACTTATAAGCTCAAAAGTCTTACTAATGGGGCTATCTGGATTTGGCCACCTGGGACACTGAAAATGCTTCACTTCAAGTACATAATCATCCTAATTGAAGAAAGAAAAATGTTTTAAAAATACCATAGTGGCCAGTGACAGTTTAGCATGAGTCAAATAATTAGGGGAAATCAGGAATTGTGGGAAGGTTAATAAGCTCACTCATGTCTATGAGTGAGCAGTCCAGAGAATGGAGAACCAGATAGCCCGTCCTCTCTCATGGAAGGAAGAACTTCCTGGAGTCCCCACTTGAGTCTTTTCTTCTTTCTGGCCTTTGTCTGAGCTATCTACCCACCCCTAAGTTAGACTTCTGGGGACTATGGTGTCCATAAGAGCAGAGGGATAGCAGAGGAACACCGAATTGGGATCAAACAGGAATGCTTCTGCTTTAGTTTCTCTTCTGAATTTGACTCAGGCAAATACATACTAAGAACTGTCCTTAAAACATGAGAAATAGGATAAATAAAGTTCTTTTTGTTTTTAACTTGCATTCTATCAGCAACAGCTCTGGAGTAAAAAAGAAACCCTGATCTTCTGTGTGCATAATTCATGAAAGTTTAGTTATGACTAATTGTTTGATGACTCAAGATTTTGAACATCAATGTGATAAGTAAGGTAAACTTGTGTAATTTGTCTCAATTATAAGAAATTGTATTCCTTTTTTTTTTTTTTCTGGGAAAGATCCTTACGTCAGCATATATTTAACATTATCTTAGAAGAGTCGATCCTTTAAATGATGTCTGTACCTGTGTAGCTTCTAAGATAAAGTCTTGAACTATCAGTTTTTCTTCATTAGACAGACATTTGTGTTCTTCAGTCATAAGAGTGACTTTAAAACTCTCACAGTTTATAGGCTCATCTTTATTTGGCCAGTAAACAAACTCATCTTCTGCCTGGAAGATTAAAAAAAAAAAAAGATTCTAGGTTTTGATAGAGATCTAATAAAATCAGACTTTGAAATGAAGTTAACTGGTTAGCATAGAACTCAAAACTTTTCCTTGATTATCAATACTTACTCCTAAAATCATCAGTCTTAAACTAATTTGATATGCAGAATATAATAATCAGAATAATATATTCAGAGACCAAACAATTGTTTTCTTAGTTTACCAGTAACAATATTGCTCCTGTAATTGACAACTGAGTAGAGAAATTCAAGTGATTTTATGAGCTTAACAATTTTCAGAGTCATACAGGATAGTCAACATAACTTCATTGACAAGAAATGAATTTCAAAGGAAGCGTATAGTTAAAACCTAAATGAAACAGATCTTAAAAAATTTATGGATCTTTTAACTGAGAAGATCTCCAAGGAGTCTTACAACTTATATATATATATATATGTTTTAAAAAGTTAATAAAAGTAGCAGATAGGCTGACTTCGTTTGTGATTGCAAATACAAAATTTGAAAAATCAGTGTCACAAAATACTTAAAATTGAAGTTAACTTCACCCTATTTTTATTTAAAATTGTTGTTCACCATTTCAAACCTTGGAGATTAAGCAAACTATATCCAATAGTAGACAAGGTACAACTCTAGCATTGATTTTATTAGTTGAAACAAATGACTTGTTTGTATGCTGGATTTCTGGCTGTTGTCACTTGAAATGTCTCCTGTAATCAAAGCCTAAAGTCTTGGTCTTACCATGTTTTGACCATCAGGTAGCATGACCACCAGCTGGGCATTGTGATCCCATATCATCCTCCAGAAATCCTTGATGGTATGAAGAAGGGGGTGCTGGGTGATGATGAATTCATTGCTCTGATAATAACCCTACAGAACCCAAGAGAAGAGAGAAACATTCAAAACAGTCATAAGGTAATAGATCTTAAATCAAGGCAGTCACGGTATCTGGATTGTGCCTACAAATGACAGTGTGCTTATGATAGCCGCTGTTTCCAGGCACAACCTGTATCACCTGGCACACCTTGTCAAGTCACAGCCCTGCTCTGAGACAGGACCTTTGATCCTCACATTACAGATAATTAATCTGAGGCTTCAGAAGTTCAGTGTTGTGCCCAAATTTATACAACTATAACCTCCACGAGATTTACTGAAGTGGGGCAGGGAGCAAGTCTCCTACATTAGGAGACACAGGAAAGGAAAAAGCTAGAGGAGAATCTATCTTTCTCACCTTCCCCATGTCCAAGGGTCAGATCTCATGCCTAGGGGCAAGAGAACACCCAAAGTGTCCAGCTACCCGTGCTGTCTCTACAGGGAAGGCATCAGGGGAGACATTGCAGATTCTGCTGTAGAAATCTAGAAGCTCGTGCCACTGGATAAATCATTGTTTACATGTTGCCACTTAATAAAATTTTGGCTCATTTATTTCCTTCTGCTCCGGGGCCACTTAGCTCCCAATCCTATCCAGTATGGGCTAATTTGTAGGCAGTATTATTTAGATGCCACCACCCTTCCCTGATCCCTACATGGGTATGCCAGAATCTTTTCTGGAAAATGGTTTTGACATGGGAATGAGAGCCTTCTTATCTGAAGTCAAATTCTGAAATAGAAATGAGGATCACCCAGAAACCACCCAAGCACTCAACCCTGTCTGATGGGGGGCTGTCCTTTGGTAGATGAAATATAGAACCTCCTAGCGAGATGAGTGCATGTTTTGTACCTAATTTTCAATCTAGGATGGCGAGTTTGGTTCCTGCATCTATTTATTTATCTTACTGAGGTTTCTCTGATTGCAACATGCATAAAGATATGCTGCAGTGCCATTATTCCACGTGCTGTGGTGGGTCTACAGTCAAGACCTCTGATGTAAATGCACCAATAGCACTGTCCATGTCTGCAGTCACTACTTTAAACAGCCCATTTTGGTTTTGGTAACACAAGCCTCAGCAGCTCCCCTGTGCCTACTCAGACTTACCATGATGTAGGAGGCATTGATGTAGTCTGTGCCTTCACCGCTCAGAGATGAAATGCCAACCCTTGATCTTTCCACTGGAACACAGAATATTCATGCAAATAATCATGATCGTGGCTCTGTATCTCTCTCCTCACCCCCAAATTGCAAAAACATAGCTGCATTTCTCATATTGAAAATCTTTGATAATATTAAGCTAATTTTCTATGCATTTTGCATTGACAAGACAAAACAGGCTTTGCCTTCTTTTTAACAGTTACTTCATCAGGCATAATTAGAAAAAGATGAGTGTATTGCTTTCACTCCAAGATGGGCAAATCCTTTTATATTGCTTCCAAATTTCTAATATAAAAAAACTTGTTCCCTTCCACTTGCCCCCACCAATATTTAACATAACCTACCAGGGATGATGGAAGAAGTTCTGTTCTTCTCCCTGTTGCATTGCTTTAGGGCTGTGGAGTAGTCACTCTGCTGTATATTTGATTGACTCAGGAGCTGAGTGAGTCAAAGAAATACACGTTATTTCAATTAAGTCATTGAAACACACACACTGCCCTTGCTTCGACCAAGAAAAACACTGAATGTAGGTATATATCTGGCTTGTTTTTCAAGAATTCCTTGAAGTAAACCTTATTTTAGGTGGTTCTCTGGCACATTTATGACCTTCACCATGGGGAGGGAGGGTGGAGCTAGAGGAAACAGAACACTCGCGATGTGTACTTTCTGCAGGGGGAGGGGCTTCCTCCTGGCTTCCTCTGCAGGTGTGTCCTTCACTATGCTCAGGGAAGTCAGCCAAAGGAAAAAGATGATGTTACCGCTAGGAGGAATATTAGGGAACCAAGTGCAGAATCAGGCAAAAACTAAAATTAACTGGCAAGATGTTTTTGCTTGTTGTTGCTGATTTGGCTCTTTTTTAATTTTAATTCATTTTATAAGACATAGCTAGTGAGCTACCATGCTATAGTTTTTATGCACACTTCTTGAAATCTAACAATACCAACAGCTGACATTCCTCCCCTTTTCTGAATCTACCATTTCTTTATGAGTGTATTTTGCTTGTATTTTTCTTAAATCTTTCTTTTATGTAGATTTCCAAGTTTGCTGTAACAAAAATATTCAGAGAATATTTTTGAAATGTTTCTAACTTAGTCCCTGACTTGTATCTATTTATTTGTGCATACTCTCTCCTTCCCACTCATCAAGTTGGGCATAGGCTGTCTGCTTTATTACTTATCAATGGAGCCTACAATGGTTTTGTCTCATCTTTGATTCTATAGAATTAACTTTCTATTTCATTTAAGAATAATTTCAACTTCCCTACATTTCCCTTCTCTTCTGGGCATGTGGAGTTTTGTTCCTAGTTTTCCCATGATATGCTAACTTTACTAGCTTTTATTTATTCTCACATGAATTATTTACAGCTGTGAATTTCCTTCTAAGCTATGATATTAGCAGTATCCTGCAAGTTATGCTAAGCAGTGCTTCTGCTGACCTTTCATGCTAAAGATTTTGTATTTTCTTCTTTAAAATATAACTTCAGGGCCCTCCTTGGGCAGCGGGTTAATGCACAGCATTAAGAAGCTAAAGCCACTTCTGCATGTGTTCGATCCCCGCCTGCCCCGGAGGTGACCATATGGTGTGGCAGACCTCTCCTGACCCGCCCACTGCTCCCCTCAGCAGTGTACTTAGTCTATATGCCTGTTCTGCTCCCTGCTCTGCGTGTGATGAATCCTCTCACCATCCCTGCACCTCTGACCTGTACCCCAGTTCTGTATCCATAAATAAAAATAAAATCTTTAAAAAAAATATAACTTCATAGGGCATCTCTGTAGTAAACATTTGGCTATTTAGGGCAAGCTGTCATTGCCAATATCTAATTTTACTGTATTAGGTCCTGAGAATGGAATGTAGTTAGTTAGCATGGTGTAGATCCCTTGCTAACAACTCCTCTCTTCCCCAGCAGCTATTTTATTTTATTATTAAAAAAATTAAATATATTTATCTATTTTTACATCATTATTCATTTTGTACATTTTTCCATCTTGGTTGCAATCCCCACCCAACAGCTATTTTAAAACATTTACTTTAGAGTATGCACAGACATACAGACAGACACACACACACATTTCCCTGGGTACTATGTTACTAGGAAACAGAATCAAATGTCTTTCTTCTTAACTAGATTCTAACCTAACTGGTATTTTCATTTTGATCCTGCATTCTCTTATATAAGCCATGTGAATTTTTTGACACAATTGTGTAGAGAGTAAATCATAATTAAATCAGAAATTTGTTGAAAATGGTGATTCTTTTTTTTTTAAAGATTTATTTATTTATTCATACAGAACTGGGGAACAGGCCAGAGATGCGGAGGGTGAGAGGATTCACCAGGGAAAGAGTGGGGAGCAGAACAGGCAGATCAACAAAGTACACTGCTGAGGGGAGCAGCGGGTGTGTCAGGAGAAGTCTGCCTTGCCATGTGGATCTCCTCCGGGACAGGCGGGGATCGAACTCATGAGGAAGTGGCTTAAGCTACTTAGTACTGTGCTTTAACCCGCTGCGCCACCAGGGAAGGCCAGGTGATTCTTTTTTTTTAAGATTTATTTATTTATGCATATAAGAACTGGGGTACAGGGTAGAGTTATTGGGGGTTGAGAGGATTCACCAGACACAGAGTGGGGAACAGAACAGGCAGACTGACTGAAATACACTGCCGAGGGGAGCAGCGTACAGGTCAGGAGAAGCCTGCTGCGCCATGTGGGTCACCTCCCTGGCTGGGATCCAACTCGTGCTGGAGTGGCTGCTATAGCTTCATAGTGCTGTGCTTTAAATCCATGCGTCACTAGGGAGGTCCCAAAATGGGCCCTCTTCTTATATATGTTTAATTTAGGGCAAAGCTATAGTAATAATCCATTTTTAAAGTTTTATATTTCTTTAGTATTTGCTTTTGGAAGTCAAACTGCACTTTTTCCCTTTCCTTAAATTGTTCCTGAGTCAATCTCATCAGCCTGAGTAAATCTTTGATGTTCCTGACAGCAGGCTCTTACCCCCCCCCCACTCACTCCCAACATTCTAGTTCTCTGCCCAAACACAAGAGCTGCCTCCTGAGACCCCAGAACATCATAGGGGAATTGGGGTGACTAATAGCTTCCACGTGGTGGACTGGGAGGAGGGAGAGAAAGCATGGCAGTCGCAACGTTTATGAACACACTGACTTTGCCAGTGGTTTTCAAATCCTCCTTAGATATTCCTTCTTCAGAAACTGGCCCTATTCTGGAAGACTTCTGGGAAGTAAGAGGATAGTAAGGAATATTCTGGAGCCAAGTAATAGAGCCTCCAGGACCCTGGAAGCCACGATTCTGCCAGTACTCCTGTTCTAGCAGCTACTTTCCAAATTCCTTGCTTTCTGGTTTCTGAAAGCCAGAGGCTGGGGTTGGAAGTATAACAGAGAATGAAACACGCTCTCTTCCAGCTGATTGCTTTATCACAGATGAGTGGGAGAAACTGAGGTTGAAGAAGCTCTCACTCAGGTGTGGCCTGTTCTAGTCTAGGCGCTTCAAGTTAAAGCGATTTTTTCAAAGAGCAGCACAAACAGCCTGAACCATAACACTTGTAGTGATTGAAGTGGTCTGGTTTTTTCAAAGTAAAAAGAGCACTTACACTGTCTGTATTACAAGTTCTACCTGTCCATCCTGTCATGCTGTGCCCCCTTCCCTGAGCCACATTTACATTTATAAAAGTTAATCTAGGATTTCTGAGAACTTCTCTTCTGATGACTCAACATGAGGTTTTCCTTGAAATTTACCATGTGGGTTTCTACCTATGTCAAGAACAGGAGAAAGCGACTGCATCTGCTCGCCCACATGGCCTCGGTGTTTCAAAGGAAGAGAGACGGGAACATTCAATACAGTGGTGACCCTCAAGAGTTTCCGACAGACCCACCTTGAATTGTTTCTCTAGCTTTGTTTTGCCTGTTGGTCCAGGGATGAGGAGTGCATTGACGTAGGCGTGAATATGACTATCAGGCACCTCGGTTTCTTTACTTAGGATGGCTTCCACCAGTGCGTCGTGAATGAAGACATACTGCTCCTAGAAAAACAATGACATGGAAGAGCATGTGGTCACGTGTTTTCCTCGTATTTATCAAGGTTCAAAAGGTGTGTCTTCTGTTGACAGACAAGAAGCTCTACAAAATGAGGGGTATCCCACAAAGAATTTTGATAAGAGCAGGACAGTAGGCAGATCTAGAAAAGAAGGGCCCAAGAGAGAACACAGCTCTTCTCAGCCCACAGCTCTTGTTTTGCTGTGTGCTGACATTTGTGGGAAGGAAGAAGGAAACAAGATTTGGGGAGCAAAGCGATGATTTCTCTGCCCACCCTTCAAACCTGGGGCCTCATCCACATTTTCATAGGCCTTCTCCTGTTAGTCAGTCACCTATAATTAAGTAAAACTGCCTGTACCACTTCTAATAGTTAACTTTTATTTCCTAATTGGGACTTTTCCTAATTGGTCTTACTGACCTGAGGAAATAAGCTCCAGTTTGGTTTGATATTAAAACCCACCCAGCCTTCTATCAATAGCTCTCAAGATGATATGCCCACATTCAATTAAAATTCATTTTTTATTTAGCAATGTGGAAGATAAAGATAGGCAGTTTTTCCTGTGCCAGAGAAATTTTCTACAAGGACTGATATGTACAAGAAATTATGTACAATAAATGATACATAAAATAACTGATGACATCCCTAAAAGGAAATGTAATTTGAATTTAATTCTCAATTTTAAAACATGAACACGAATCCATTCCTTCACAATATGCAAGAAAAACTCGAGGATTTTGTTAGCAGTGCTTGGTGTTGACCAACAGACTTACTCTTTTTTGGTATCTTCAGGCACTGGAGTCATTTTAAAGATACTTCCCAATTGGTCCCAAAATAGGTAACAATTACCTGGGTCCATCCAGGACTTAGAGATAAGTACCTGGTATGATAATTTGAATGTTGTCATCCAAAAGATAGGCCAAAGTGCTAAGTAGCTCAGAATAAAAACTTGACTTGTAAATAGGGAGGATGTGAATAGAATCAGCCACTGTGAAGTTGTGACTGGTGTCTGAATAGAAGAAGGAAATTAAACAAGACAAGAGAGAAGATGGCATCGTGAAGACAGGGCCAGAGTGTGGAGTCGTGTTGCTGCATCCGAGGAACACATGGGGCTCCAGAAACTGGAAGAGACCAGGAAGGATCCTCCCTTGGGGCGTTTACAGGGAATCTACTCCTGTCAACACCTTCACTTTGGTCTTCTGACCGCCAGAACCACAGTACAATAAAGTTCTTTGTTATAAACTACCCACCTTGTATTTACTTTTTTTTTTTTTTTTAAGATTTGCTAATTTATATATAGAAGAACTGGGTATAGATCAGAGGTGTGGAGGGTGAGAGGATTCACCAGAGACAAACTGAGGAGCAGAGCAGGCAGATCTACTGAATACACCGGTGAGGGGAGCAGCGGGTGAGACAGGAGAGGTCTGCTGCACCATGTGGGTCACCTCCCTGGCTGGGGATGGAACTCAGGCTGCAGTGGCTGGCAATAGGTCGATAGCACTGAGATTTAATCCCTGCTCTACCAGGAAGGCTCCCAAATGCTGGTGTATTTCATCTGAGCATTTTAGTGACTTTGCCAACCTTTAGATGACTAGAATTAACCCTTTTATCATACCTCTGTTTGCACCAGATAATTCCTTTGTGAGCGGATGTGCTTTAAGAAGCCGAATATGTTGACATTGCCTTCGTGCTTAATCTGTTGCAGCATGCTGTCTAGCACGATGTAGGTGCCTGTTCTGCCAACGCCAGCGCTGGAGAGAACACAGAGAGCTAGCTCAATGTAGGCACCAAATACATTTGAAGATCAAAAGCTACAGGCTGTCTTGAGAATTAAAATAAATTCTTCTTCAAGCAAATGAGCCACATCATGAGTAAGTTAGCAATCCAAAGCTATAAACAGGTTAGTCATCAAGTGTAATACTTCAAATAGCCAATAAAAAGTTTTCATTTTATTTGTTGTTTCCTTTTATTTATTGACACAAAAACAGTTGACACAACTGAACTGCAAAGCAACCTATTTCTGCTGGAGATTTTAATCTAACAATAATTATATTTATCATGATTATAGCACATACAATGGAAATATGTAGCAGAACACAACAAATAGGTATTTCATCTGAGAAAAATGAAAGCCTCCGATTCACCAAACTCTGAATAGCAAAGGTCCTGGCTCTGTATTGCCAGGTAGACATGTTTGTAAAGGTTTCCACATTAATGAGAGAAAGAATTTGATAAAGTGTTCAGTTGAAAATATCATTTCAGTGAGATTGTGAGGAATAAAGCCTAACTTCAGTCATTTCTAAAGGGCCATTATCTCTGGACTTCTTCAGAGCCGCTATTGGAGAGACAGAATTCATAGACAGGGATTTCTTTTCAAATGCTCCTACAAGGAGGAAGTGCTAGAAGGAAGGTTAGCACCCGCTCTGCACAATAGCCTGTCCTTCTTCTTTGCTAAGAAACAATCCCTGACCTTCAGAGCTATTTTCCTTGCAGCTTCCCATTTCCCTCAGTTTATGTCAGGCTCTGCAATGAAAAAACTCAACACGGGTCTCTCAAACTTTGTCTGAGATCACTCCTGAGATCGGTAATTACAATGTGTCAGATAAGTTGTTTATGAAAGGAAAACATTGGCTTCTGTAAAACACAGGCACTGCTTTGACAATGATACTGTACAAAGAAGTGAACTGGATTTCTGCAGTCATAAAGCTTGATACCAAGTCAGCACTCAGTAAATGTTAACTGCTATTTTTATTTTCACGGAAAAACATGAGATTAAAATCTTGACTGTATTTTCTTCTTTCTTTGAAATAGCATCATTTTATTCATCAGCTCTGTCTTGGAAATGGACACTTTGGGGCAATGACAAATTACTAACACATTCAATTTGGTCCAGTCTTAGAAAGAACTCACGAAAATGAGAAAGAAATTTTGGTCCAAGCTGTTCAAAAACAATTTAGAAGTATTTACCCAACACTCACACTGCATTGTGATTTCTCTAATACTAACATGGCATCTAATGCTACATTAGACTATATAGTCCTTGGTGTGAGCTTGTGTCTCAAGCATTTATTCCTGGATATTCTGTGGTAATAAGTGGTTACTTAATGACAAAACACCATTCTGCCTGCCTCACACAGTTAATAAGTGAAAGCCAATTCAACCATCCAGTCAAGTAACACACACCATGAAAATACCTGGTCCTTTGAAATATTCAGCAATCAAATTCTGGGGCTGGCACACTTATTTCCAAATGATCAACGCTTGTGAAAATAGGCAATAACTTCCACCCCCTCAGTGTGTGAGATCTTTCCCAGGTTGGAAAGCCCCCACCCCACTGGTGTCCTTTTGCTGCGATCCTTGGTTTGGAAACCAGCCTTGAAGACTCACCTGCAATGGACAACGACAGGCCCCACTGCGTGGCGCTTGGCATATGACGCCTTTCTCACGAAGGTCAGCACTGGCAGTGAGTACTCGGGCACACCCATGTCAGGCCACTGGGTGTAGTGGTACTGTGTGATCACACGTCCACTGGCTCTTCCTTTCTGGGAGCCCTGGAAGGATCCAGACAGCAAGAACACACACACATCCATGAATAGGTACACACACACACACACACATGCGCACACACACTTGGGGTCTTTGAACATCAACTCAAGAGTCAAAATTCATAGTTTGATGTTGATGGTCTAAGGTGAACAAGAAAGACATCATCATTTTTGATGACTAATTGTATGTGTCAACTTGACTAGACTCTGGTGGCCAGCAGTTTGGTCAAATGGCATTCCCACCAGACGTACTGTTAAAGGCATGTTTTCGATGTGATTGATATTTAAATCATAAGAATCTGAGTAAAACAGTTTATGCCCTGTAATGTGAGTAGGTCTCAATTCATTAGCTGAAGGCCTAAAGGTTTTCTGAAGAACACGAAATTCTCTTAAAGACTGAAACACAGAAATCCTGCATGAGTTTCCACTTGCTTTCCTGATGAATTTGGATACTTGACTGCAAAGATCAGCTCTTACTTGACTACCCAGGCTACTTGATACTACAGATTCCAGACTTGTGATGCTCACAACCACTTAAGTCAATTCCTTAACGTATCTGTCTGTCAACACCTCCCCCCAGAGCCCAACTCCCTGGCCAAATATCCATATTTTCCATTAGTTCTGTTTCTCTGAAGAATCCTGAAGAATACACTATTGCATTTTTCTGCCTTTCTTTTCTTTTTCTTAGGGCTGGGCTCACATGGGCTCCATCCATTGCATCTAATATGCTTACAGAATGAGCAATCTGGGTCTTCCACTATGATGGAATTTGAAGACTTAGAAGAGACAGTTAGCACCTAGTGTAGTGTGCTGAGAACTCATACATATATATATAGTTTTATATATATATATATATATATATATATATATATATATATATATATATATCTCATCCCATCTTTCTCATATGACCCAATCACTTACAAAGAGCTAGCCATATTACTGGACTGATGGTGTACAGCCGTGCTCACTCACCTTTTTCACCTTTGTGTTTCTGAGGGTAAAATTCCTTACAGTATAATAAGCAAGCATCTGAACACTCTTGTGGGTGACCAGAAAGTTCCCATACTCTTCACTGCCATCAGCAGGCCAGTACTGGTCACATTTTCTCTGCAAAAGAGACAGTGAAGTTGCTACTTCCATATTCAAATAGAGTTGTCTGAAATCAGTAAAGGACTGAGACAGTAACATTAACACCTTTACTCTTTAAATTATTTTTTTTCTAAATCATTGCAAATCAGCTATAGAGAATACCACCCACCTACTTATTCACTCATCCATCCCTTGAGCCACCCATCCACTGATCCATTAACATATTCATAGAACTGAATGAGACTTGAGATGATCTGGTCCAATCCTACCCCTTTCAGGTAAGGAAAGTGTGGCCTGATGCAGTGGTCACTACAGAACCATCACAAGAATTCAGTTCCTGTGAATTAAAATCGATTTCATTCTGCATTGTTTCTCAATGAGCTTCATTTACTTGTTCTCACACTATGAAGAGTGCTTTTTAAAAGCAGGTAGGTTAGTTTATAGTGAAACTTTTTTACCTATAATTTTACCTATAAAATTACTTATGATTTTAAGGTCATACTTTGTTGAAAAAACCCTGATTAGCTGTCACACGTTTTCTGCTTCCTAATGCTGAATCTATTAAAAGCAATTGAAAATATCTATAAACGTTCTTTTAGGGATGTCCCACAGATTACTTACCCTTCCTTTCTCGACGAGGTTTGTAATCATGATGATAACTTCCACATTATGTTCCCATATCATTCTCCAGAAATCTTCAGCTGTGGATTTCAGTGGACCTTGAGCAGCAATGTAAGCTTTGGGTCTGTTGTAACCCTGAAGAAATAAATGACAGGCATTGCTTAATCTGGCTTCTTTGCCATTTTTAACTATATTAATGTTGGTACTTTTTCCCTATAAACTGCAAAGATGGAGAAACTTGCTAGTCCTAGCAAAGACAGAAACTTTTTTTTTTCTGTAAAGAAAAAGAACTCTATTTGCTTTAATACAACCACTATCAATTGCATCTTTTGTCCAAATGCATTTAACTCAAGTATATTTGCTATGCTTAATTATGTTGCTCTGAAATGCATTTGAGGTGTTGGGACTGCTGTCTGTAACAGTTAGGACACCTTCGCTGTTGCCACCTCACCCTCTCCTTGGTAGTACTGAGCACCTCTCCTCACTGAGCACCCATCGTGGCCAAGATGTTTTACAAACATTACCCCTCATCTTTAGTCTATGCAAAATGGAAACATCATCCCTGAGTTGGAGATGAGGAAACTGGAATTATGTGGCTTCCCAAGTTCTCTTGGGGATGTCACACAGATTACTTACCCTTCCTTTGGTGCTCACAGAGGAATTATGTGGCTTCCCAAGTTCCCAGTTAACCAGTGGTAGAAATGGAATTCAAAACCAGTTCTAAATTCAAAGCCCACATTAGATATGCATATATGCTGCTTCTTCTGGAAGCGAGTAGTCACTGCCTACAATACACCCACTGGATACTGGTATTCACTGTTTTGATTTGGCTGTTCATGAAGCATAAACTTGAAGGCAGCTAGACTGTGAGGTGAGTACAAGAAAATAACTGAGTTCTGTTGACATTCAATTGACACAGTGAAAACACGCTGAATTAGTGGGCTATAATAGCCTCAGAGAGAGCCTCAGAAACTTCTCAAGGCTGGGTTTCCTAAGCAGTGCCCAAGACTACAAAGATTGGTAACTGCTTTAGTAATAAAATATTCGCTTCTCAGCCAATATTATCTGGGAATTTGCCAGTCAGGATTTATTGATCATCTGCTATATATGCACATTGTGTTGGGAGCTAAGAGACCCTCAAAATAAGCACTGGTATAGCCCTTTATTTAAGAAGATATAAAAATTTATCTATCTATCTACCTACCTATCTATCTATCTTTCTACCTACCTATCTATCTACCTTTCGATCTACCTATCTATCACCTATCCATCCATTCATCTATAACTTGTACATTGAACAAATATTTCCAGCCTATTCTCTCTCACTGTTGATTTCTATTTTTTATTATCTATTATAAAACACATATTAAGCATCGGTACATCATAAATATACGGTGGTATAACAGATTCACTGTTTATATACTTTTCATAAACATTTAATCAAAGCATACATACATCAACATAATTGGCGTTGATGTAATCAGTCACTTTGCCATCTTTTTCTGCAAGTTGGGCCAGCTTAACCCTACTATGATCATCTGTAATAAAAAGAAAAGAAAATATTTTACAATAGCATAGACTATATTTTAGCATAAAGTTTGTTTACCTTTACAACTTTAATTTATCAGATACAATTAAAGTCAATGCAAAAGCATTTATGTTAGTTAAGTTCTTGGGGTATACAGAGTTGTCAAAGGTAAAGATGCATCTGATAATTAGTTTTCCTGATGTGGAAGACACAGACACAGAAAGCAACGCACAGCTGTGGGAAGAGACAGGAGGGAAGAAACCAGAAGGAAGTTTAGGCAAGCGCTACAGCAAATAGTTCTTTCAAGGGAAGTGCCTCAAGGGGGTTTTCTGCCGAGGCAAGACAGCAGCTGCCCAAGCAAAAGGGGGTGGACTCTGCACCATCAATTAAAAGGGGATGAAAACTATGGTGACCTACATACAGATAGACTGAGGTAATTCAAATATGTTGAAAAAAGAAGTCTGGGTTCACTTCAGTTATACAGAGAAGCTGTCTTTATTTGGCGGGGCTACAGAGTATGAAAGAAAAGTGTCCTGGAACCAGTTTCACTGGGAAGACTATTGATTCTTTTCAAGGGTGAAGAAGAGAATGCAGAGAGAGATACTCCACGTCAAAGAGATTCTGAGGCAGTCATTTCTCTGTGAAGGTGCAGTTCACAAAGCTCAGGGAATGTCTGCAGAAACAGATGGGTGGCTGAAAGATGGGTTTGGCTGGCAAACCGATTCATTTCTATATTTCACATCTAATATTTTGACTTTTTATTTTATTTTTTTCAAGATTTATTTATTTATGCATATAGATTGGGATACAGGCCAGAGGTGCAGGGGCAGGGAGAGGATTCACCAGAGGCAGAGTGGGGAGCAGAACAGACAGACTGACAAAGTACACTGCAGAGGGGAGCAGTGTGAGGGTCGGGAGAGGTCTGTCATGTCATGTGGGTCTCCTCCAGAGCCTGGGATCGAACTCGCACTGAAGCAGCTGCAGCTAGCTTGCAGGGTAGTTCCCTAACCCATTGCACTACCAGGGAGGGCCTGACTTATTTCTTAAATCACAATTTATTCTTTTATTTGTGGCAACATTAGGATTCTCTCCATCAAGTATCACCACCATAGGGTACCCCCTACCAAATCACCCGTAGTTCACCTCCACAGTCCATCATGCTTTCTCCTCAATTTGTCCCTATTCCTTCCTCACCCACCCCCTCCCCCTCTGGAGGCTTCAGTCCTATAGTCCCATAGCTTTTAAAGTTTAGCTATTAAGGTTGTCTTTCTCTGGTCTTTAATTTGAGTTCTCCACATTCCACTTATCAGTGACACCATCTATTATTTTACTTTCTCCTTCTACCTTTTTTTCACTTAGCATAGTCTCTTCCATCTCCAACCAAGTTACTGCAAAATGCATGACTTTTCTGACTGCTGAGTATTCCATTGTGTATATTTACCACATTTTAGAAGGGTACTGCTATGAAGTAAATTTCCTGGGTTGTTTTTCTCCATCTCTAAAATCAGACTGTCTATACCTATCTTGGCAAGCTTGAAGTAATGGTTTTACAGTGCCAGACACACAGTCATTCAAGAACTGCTCCTCTCCATCCCTGCCTTGACTACCTGGTGTGTGTTTTCCATTCAGTTTGTAGAAGGAATAGTCTAATGGCAACTGTGCTTTTAGCACAGTCAGGATGCGTCAATTGATGAAATAACCATAAAGCAAAGACTGTTACTGAAATAAAGGACTCCCGTGGAAGGAAAAACAGTGTCTATGCTGACTGTTCAAAACATGATACAAAAGGGAGGAGAGTGTAGTTTCTTTGGTTTCCAAAACTATAGTGGAGCCAGAATTTAAATGACCAAGCTGGCAATAGCATGTTCTATGAATCTAGAGGACCCTGGGAGGTACAGAAGGAAGGATGAAAACAGAAGTTTGGCAGGGGACAGTGAAGGTGAATATTAGGAAATGGAACTGAATATAAAAGACGATGGAGGAAAATTGAAAATAAAACAGATGTAAACAGGAGGTTCTGTTTAAGAGGATTGAAAATGTTGGTCATTTCATAGGAAGAAACAGATAAATCTGCCCTAGAAAGGTCAGTTCATTGAGGAGAAAACAGGTAAAATAATTGAGGGAAAGAGGAATAAAAAAGAGAATAGGGCCCTCCCTAATGGCACAATGGATTAGGACACAGCACTGTAAGCTAGCGGCAGCCGCTTCTTTGCGACTTTGGATCCCAGGCCCCGGAGGTGACCCACATGGCGCGGCAGATCTCTCCTGATCACCCGCTGCTCCCCTCAGCAGTGTACTTCATTGATCTGCTTGTTCTGCTCCCCATTCTGTCTCTGGTGAAGCCTCTCACCGCCTCTGCACCACTGGCTTGTACCCCATTCTGTATGAATAACTAAATAACTCTTTAATAAAAGAGAGACGGAATAAACTAAACCTTGATAAGAGCTTAGGAACAAGGGTGAGAGAGGGAGGAACAGTGGGGGTGGGTTGTATGGCAAGGATGAAGGAAACATCTGGTTAGTAACTTCATGTGAAAACTGGTATCTCTCAAGTGAAAATGGGACCACAGAATAGAAAAAATAACAGACACCATAAGCACAGATTTATTGCCCATTGGGCCTAAAGAAAGAACTGGATTAACATGTGAGTTTGTTTTGTTTAAAAACAATGAATGCCATAAATTGCAGAATGTATTTAAGTTGCAGTGAAAAAAGACCATATCAATATACTGTAATAGCCTCACTGAGGTGCAATATGGAGCAACTCACAGCCATGCGGCTGGAGTTTGATCTCTGGCCAGGGAGGTGACCCACGTGGCTCAGCAGCCCTCTCCTGTCTTGCTCTGTCTCTGGTGAATTTCCCCCTTTCCCCATCCTCCACCCCCTTGTCTCAGGACTGTGCCCCAGTTCTTGTATGCATACATTAAAAAAAAAAACAACTTTTTTTTTTTTAAAAAGAACTTCATTTCAAAGCACATAACAGTAACAGGAGTGACAAGTCATGTCTGAGTTAGGGATGCACTTACAAGCCACGATGTTCACATATCTGTTCTTGTGCTTATTGTCGGGGTGGTTAGAGCTGTCTGCTGTGATACCTAAGTCAACAGTACAGCTCTGTACTTCCTGTGAAGAAATTGTATGTAGACTATTTTAACACGTAGCCTTTTAAGCAAAGTTCCTCAAAATATAATCAGAAAGACAAAACAAACAAAATAATTTACCCCATACAATTTTTTTACATGTTACAACTAGTCTTGGCTAAAAGAAAATGCAGTGAAATAATGCCTTACCTGGTAAAACTCTTTCAGTGTCTAATGAGGGAATGAATGCCAAAAAAGTAAAGAAACCAAATTCCACAGCACACGACAAATGAGAAAAAAAAGCGTTCATATTAGGTTTACAATGGAAAACTATGATCATGCAATAAATACATTTTTCAAATACTAACAAAACAAGAATGTTTCAAACTATTGCATGCAAATCAAAATGTCTAACAAATTGGAGCCTTAAAGTTATGTAAAAGGAAAAAATCCTTTAAAAAGGTAACGGTGATAACAGTGATGAATTTTTAAAATGAAGATGAGAAAGAATATATTTGATAACACATTTTGCCATAATGGTTGGGTTTACTAATATCCTAAATATAATTTTATTTGCCTACTGGAGCACTATTTGAAACAATGAATTAGTGATGCATACATACATTGTTTTTTGAGTAATTTGAAAACAGTTTCCTATTAGGTTGTTTGTACTAATTTAGGATTGTCAAAGTATGAAAAATCTTGTAAAATTTTTATAAAACATACTATGTGGTTTTGGAACAAAATTTAGATAGTGTTACTGCCTACATATTTTATTAGTAGACTACTTTTTGATATATATACATCAATAAGAACAGAAGAATTTTTCTCCAGTATTCTCTTTTAAAATTAATTAAAATGCTTTTCAAGATGTTTCTATCTAAATGTATTAGCTTGGAACTTGATTATTTAGTGTTAAGATAATAATAGGAAAGACTTATACTTTTTGAGAAAGTAAATAATCCAGACACCAGTCTGATTCATAAGCAAATGGTCCACCTCTCCAAGTAAGCTTTTTGGGTCTATTTTGCAGCAACTCATTCTGATCTGACTCTAGATTTAAAGACAAGTCAGTAAATGAATCACTAAAAGGTTTATAGTATTATCAGGTATTAAGCTAATTATTAAGTTAATGGAAAGCTCTCTTGAATCAGACTATGAGTTTAAAGCAATGAAATTAAGGAAACATACTTTCTGAGTAAAATGTGAAGTTATTTTATTAATTGAATTATTATGAAGGTTTAATAATATTCAACAAAATTTTATAGTTGTCAAATCTATAAATCTGCCCCTAGGCAATATGCCATCAATAAATTTTATTATAAATTATTTATTTTTTTCTTATGGTTGTTAACATTTTGAAGGTTAGACTCACCCTTGAATTTCCTCCCTCTTAATTATGATTGCTTCAGGTGAGCTTGACAGTTTTATGAGTCAGCATTTCACCCAATAAAGGTGAGTTTATGTTAAAAAAATTTTTGCTATTTTAAGTATGTAATTCTTCATATTATTCCATGTTACTTAGTCATTACCTCGTACTTTTCTCTTATTCAATGAAGCTACAATTAAGATTTCTTTAAAGATAAAATACATTGGTTTTCTTTATTTTTCATTTAACAAAAACATGACATTTTAAAATACTACTTATTAGCTGTTAATCAATTTCAATGGTGGTTAATTTCCTCAGTAATATGATTAGAAATGAAAAACCACTCCCCAAGTTGGGTGAAGGTTGTATGTAGAATGTGGCAGAAAGACAGGTATGATAGGGAATCCTAAAAAATGGTAGCTTTTACTTTGGGGGCTTATTGTTATTAATTCTGGGCTTATGACTCCTTATTCTGAAAAATCTGCTTTATTGATAGTTCAGAGGGTCATGACAAATTTTCAGTAAATTTCTCTGCCCCTTTTACATAAGAGCATTTTAATATAATATTTTTAAAAAATTAAATATTAAGTTGCTTTAAAGAACATTTAAATAAAAGATTTTCACTGATTATAAAGTCAAATGCTTTTTAAAAGAAATTCCCTATGTTGAGAAGATGGGCCTTTACTTTGGCTAATAAAAGGACTGGGTAATTCTTCTGTAAATATATTGGTATAATACTTATAATTAAGATGTTTGTATATAATTTGACTAAAAATCATGAAATTTAGGTGGTTCAATATAATTCATATCATTTAAAAGATGAAAAAGAATCAGTGTTACTAATTCAGATTTAAAATAAAAATGAATACTGGAGATCACATTTCATGTGAGAGAATTATTGCTATTTTTGATTTTTCCACTAGCATAAATTTACTTTTAAAATGGATATATAAATATATACACACACACACCACACATACATACACACACATATTTAGATAACTTTCTAAATATATGATAACAAGACACATCTCCTAAACAGGTTAAGTATTCACTTCACTAGAAGTGAAAATTATTTCAAGGTCTTTAGGCCAAGAAATAGTCTATTGTTTAATATTTTAAATTTGCTATTTTCTACATTATTTGAAATAGACATATTAAAATCATACCTCAAATTCTTCAGTAAACCCACTACTTGCATGTAAGTCTGCAACATGCTTTGGAAAGTGCTTTATTGGAATTGCTCCAATATCATCTAAGTGAATAAAAAAGGTAGGTTGGAAAGGATAATTCAACAGAAATGAATGTGCCTCTCATTTACAAAGACTTAAGTGCTTTTTCTAAACAACTTCAGAGTTTAATTATTTCTATCCAAGCTGAATCTTATAATTCAACAAAACAATAAGCAATGTTTACTAATTTTCTCTGTATTATCAATAAAAGCCTACATTTTAGAAAACTAATTCGATCAGGATTCTCTTTTCCTTTCATACTGTAAAGAGAAGAGAATTAATTTTCACGTTAATTGATAAATACTACAGTATACTCATTTCTTACCAAGGAGCTGCATCTCTTGATAGATAACACTTTTTAAACTTTAACTCTATAGATAATGTTCTTTAGCTCTAATGAGTGAGAAAGGCATGTGTAATCTGGAGGAGGGAGGAAAAGCAGAAATAGTATCCTCTCAATTTTACCATGGACTAAGTATAATAAAATTTCAGTGTTATTAAATTGTACAGTTTAATACCTTACAGTCAATGTTTACATTCTATAATTTTTTTTTGTTTTTATAAATAAGACAATATATGCAGACTATCCTTTAAACATAATGTCAAAAACCTTTGGGACTCTTCATCTTTAAAAATTCAAGCATTCTAACTTTAAAATATGCTATATAAACAAAGTCACTGGATCTGTTAATTAACTAAGAAGGGGTCAGATTATTTTAACTGATTCTGTCCCTCCCTTCCCTGAAAGACTTTCTGAGATTAAACATACACTAGCTCACAGTATGCAATTTCACAAGTGATTTCTCTGACAAGGAAACATCAAACACATTTCACTAGAAACAGTTATTTACATCAACAGATGTTCAGCATCTAGGCCACTTAATATTTTTAAGCTTCATTTACCAAGAATTGGTTGATTTTTTTTTAAAAAAAAGAAATCCATCTGTTCTCTCTCTTGATGAGTATACCTGAATACTAAAATTGAATTAGCCAGTTAGACTTAAGAAACACAAGACAAAGGTGTAATTCCGCCTTCACACCTACAAAAGGATCCTGCCTGGAAGTAGCTTTCATAATTAGAGAAGAAAACAGAAATAATTTGGCGTAGTTACATCATTAATTCTGGTAAATGTCCCTTCAAACCCAGTCATAGTAGCCTGTGCAGCTAACCTCTTTTTACAAGTGGACTAACTACATTTTATTCAGAGTCAGGTATTTTGGTAATTTCTTTTGTGACTTCTCTGTAAGTTAGTGAGAGTAGCCTATCTTTTTATGAGAGAGTAGTCTATCTGATTTTATGTGAAAATGTGCATCTTCAGATGATAAAGTACATCTTTGAGAGCACAGCTGGTCAAAATGAGGGGATGCCTTTGACTTTTCTGAGAAGTAAGACAGGGAAATATTGGATTTCCTGGGTGAAATTCTGATGTGTGATTATTTTGTTCATCATTAATAATAAACAATGTTGGATTTTGGGTAACATTATGCTTAATTTGCATACTCAGGCTGACAGGTAAGCAGAAGAGGTCTTTGAGAAAATGAAAGGAATCAAAATGTAACAGATAACTGACAGCTGTCACTCTCAAAATTATGAAAGGCTATACTATACTAAAATAAAGATACAAAACCTTAATATAAAATGGAAAAGAAGAAATAAATAAGTGGTGGTTAAAGACAAAGAGTTGCTAGGAGAAATAATCCCTTTGCCTGTTGGAAATTATAAACAAAATGCTATCTTTTTTTAAAAAAATCATGAGATTTAAGAAAATAATATTGTGTAGAACTTGGGCCTCTGGTGATAAAGATGGAATATCAGACAATTAAAAATGACCTTGTAGATGAATTTTTCCTATAGTTTTCCCTAGCTTGGTGTTTCTCAAAGTCCTTGTCTCATCTTCTCTCCTCCAGTACCTTCCTTAATTCACATGTTTCTAGAGAGTTCCTTTCTAGAACTCTTTTCATTCTGAAATATTATAAAATGTAAACTAATTAAGTATCTGCGATCTTAGTTACAGTGTGAACTTTAGGATCAAAATACATCTTAGTCAAAATGGCCATAGAAAATTTTTGGAAATTGCTACACAGGTAAGTGCTGATAAAAATCATTAGTGCTTTCCCAACCAATTATTCAACATTTAAGGCTTTTTCAGGTATTTATATTGTTTGTGCTCATACTTTTCTTCTACTCCCACTATTTTATAGTTTTTAATTTTTTCCTAATGGAGTTAAGAAACCTTTAGTTACATAACATCAGATGACTGGAAAGAAAGTAAACTTCGTCCTTTTAATTTTTTTCCTATCCACACTTAACACATTTGTTTTTTAGGTTTTCACTGAAGTATTTGAAGTGATTGAAAACTTTATTCTCAACTCTAATCACTATAAATGTTTTTGTTCTTTAACATATTACATTTGAACTATTTTACATCATTTGTCTTATCATCTGTATAATTAAGAATGCTCAGTATGAGTGAGACAAGATAGGTGTCTGTGTGCCCAACATTTTATGGTCATAAATATTCTGGGAGCACAAACATTTACTGATCTCTATTGTCATTTACAAAGTACACAGGTAAGGAGAATTCTTCCAACATTGTGCTTTTCTCTCAGCATCTACCAGCTACTCATGCTCATACTTGAATTATTACCTGAGATAGGAAAGATAGGAGTTGGAGGTGTGGATATTACTCGAGGGGATGTACTGTCCTCTAAATAAAAGTGTGCAGTCTGGAAGCATTTCCTAGAAGAGATGAAAGCAATTTATATTACTAGTCACTAAGACAACTTTTGAGCTGCTGAAATTTATGACAGGAATTTTCAGGTATAAAACATACACAGCAGTCTAAGTCCATATTACAAAACATAAGGTATTAAAGAATTTTATCTCAGGCCTCCAAATTTATTTCAGTTGTACCTGTACCACAGACATGCTGTAAGCAGAAATGGTATTTGAATTTGGAGTTGGTACCAAATAGTACTTTGCTGAGACACAGCACCCCAAAACCTAGTTACTCTTCATGCTGCTGTTCAAGTGAGTCCAGCCATCATAGACAAGACTACAGATGGGAAGAAAGCATTTCCAAAGCTATTGTCACTAACCATGTCCGTGACCGTGCTAACAAGAGGTAGAAGCTATGACCAGGGAGGAATGAAATTCCACAGTGGTTAACATGTTGATGAAAGAAAAAGTCAGCTTCAGACTGTAAGTATTTGCAGCAATGACAGAACATAAGTGAGGAAATAATGAGCATGTAACCAAAAACAGGGGTGATTTTCTTTCCAACAGACGTTAGCCTTGTTGATGAGGGTACTGAGAATGAATATATTTGGAATCAACGGCAACAATGACCCACAATGTCACCTGAATCTATTTTCACTCAAATAATAAGAGTAACATCTGGTAAGAGCACATTACAAACTCCTGAGAAGAGCAAAGAACCAACTGCTGCTAACTCAGGCAAACCATCCTTAATTACAAAAATTTAGATAATTAAAACTGCTAATGACACTCTTTGATATGGGTCATTGAATTTATTTGAAATTTTACTCACGAGTGGCTAAGTTTATGGAAATATCTACTTGAGTGAAAATGCCAATATCATTTTCCATTGCAAAGCTTTAAGCTATCAGGTATTTATCTTAATGAACTTTAATATAACATTTGTTCTCCTGTAACACATCCAAATAAATGGTGATATTTTTCAGTAATCACTTGCCTGCATAAAACTTATATGGCTTCCCACTGGAGTTAGATGTAAGTAACTACTTTGGCAAGGGCTATTAAGACCCTCCAAAACCTTGATGAATCCCTTCCTCACTTTCTAGACTCCTGCTCACACTGGTGGTCTTTCTCCCCACTAAAGGCTGGGTCAATACCACCTCAGGGTTTAACCCTGGCACTTTCCCAATCCTGCCATTCAGTTTTTTTGTGTTAAATGCTACTTCCTCTGAGACTCTTTCCTTGACCACATGAGCTAAAAGTACCAGCCTATCCCACCAAGTCACAATTCTTTGCCTTTTGTTTGCTCTGTGGCACTTATCATGGTTGCAAACACTTTATTTATATTCTTGCTTATTTGTCTGGCATGCTTTTGGTTCATCCTCCCAATATATGTAAGTCCCACAAATGCAAGTCTTTTATAAAGACAAAGGAGAACATCTGTTTTTTATAAGGTTTGTTTTTATTTATGCATACAAGAAACGGGGTACAAGCTGGACGTGCAGATGGCTAGGAGGATTCACCAGAGAGAGTGGGGAGCAGAACAGCAAATTGATGAAGTACACTGCTGAGGGGAACAGTGGGGGGGGGGCGGTCAGGAGAGGTCTGCTGTGCCATGTGAGTCACCTCCCTGGCCAGGGATCAAATTCATGCTACAGTGGCTGTGGAATGCTTAATACTGCTACACTTTAACCCCTCGTGCCACCAGGGAGGCCCAGTTTCTACTCATTTTTTAGTGAATCTTAAAGTAGTGAAATATCTTAAGGTGCACAAGATCTTGCAATAGTTACATCCTACCTATGGCCCTCACCCTTTTTAAGTTTCTTCCCTGAAGTTTCTACTCCAATAAGACAAACAGTATGTGGATTTCTGATTATGCCTCACTATCTCCTAACTCAGTAGTTCTCTTCCAAGATGTAAAGACAGCTCTCTCGATCAAAATGCTTCACTCACTAAAAATGCCAGGCATATCGTCCTCACTAAAGCCAGCTCCTCCCTTTTGCTAAATGCTAGCTCTCTAGTTTCTTTGTCTCATTGCATCTAACACAGAATTCTATTCACACCTATCTTTATAAAAACTGTTTTGAAAAAATAGTTAATTCATTCAAGTGTGACCTTCACTTTCTGGACATTATTCTCTTTATATATTTTTAAATAGCAACTTAATATTTTAATTTGGTAACATTAGGATTCTCTCCATCAGGTATAACCACCAGAGGGTATTGGCTACCAAAATCCCCATAGTCTGTCACATCGTCTATTGTGTTTCTTCCCCTCTGTTTTAAAGATTTTCATTAGCTGGGGGTTAGGTCAATCATTTTGCCATATTTGCTTTGTGCCTAAATTTTCATTTTTAGAAAAAAATCGGGGGTCATATCTTTTGATTTATATAAACTCAGCTCTTAAAACCATACTGGAGGAAAATAGATAGGTTGAGTGATTATATGGATTTCCAGTAGAAATTAAATATCACCAATTATAAGTTATTCATGCATTTCCTAGACTCTCTCGCCTACCTGAGATTCAGATGTGATAGCTTAAAATTTTAAAACAACTGAGAGGGAAAAGTAGAATATATAGCTAGAGAAAGATGGATGGAAGGAAGGGAGGGAGGGAGGAAAAATGGATGGATGGTGTGGCTGAGAGACTGGGGAGAGAGCAGCATCCAATAGAATAGGAAAAGGCAAATTAAAGCACAATGACATTGAAGTTTAATATATTACTAATGTTTATTGAATTATCTGGGAAAATACCAACTCTTCTTACAGCTGCATGTAACCAAGTATTTGTTGACTTAGAGAATAATGTCTAATAATGTGCCTTACATTTGCAAGCAGCAAAAGAGCCTTAAAAGACATATCAGATAAGGGACTCTCCCTGGTGGTGCAACAGATTAAAGCACCAATTATGAAGCTCTCCGAAGCCACTACAGCATGACTTCGATCCCTGGCCAGGGAGCTGACCCACATGGTGGCAGACCTCTTCTGACCCAGCCGCTGCTCCCCTCAGCAGTGTACTTTGTCAATCTGTCTGTTTTGCTCCCTACTCTGTCTCTGGTGAATCCTCTCACTCACTACACCTCTGGCCTATACCCCAGTTCTGTAAGCATAAATAAATCTTAAAAAAAAAAAGTCATATCAGACAGCTTATGAAGTGGAAAATTTAAATTAAAATATTACAAGATAAATTTTGGATGAAGTTAGTATGGGTATTACTTAGTATATTTCATCATGCAGTCTTACTTGGGACATGGCATTCTACTAAGAAAGCCAGTGCTGCTGGGAGCCTTCCATTCTGGGTTGTAACTACTTTCAATGAGGCACAAATTTCAATTTAAATCAAGAGAGATTTGGAGTACTTTTCTTCCTGACTCCCCCTGCTCAAACAATTGTGTCTATGGAAAGATCATTTCTATTCTGGGTATGGTGGAGTTCTTTGTTGAACTTATCTTTGGTATATGTTAAGTTCTAACTCTCAACAATGCTCTCAAAAATATCCTTTGTTTTCTTTCAAAAGAACTTTTTGGAAATCTTTCTTACTGAAGTAATTTTACATATTAGAAACTTATTGTTGGCTCATATAAATTATACACTAAAACATCTGGAAAATAATTCCAAGGCATATTATTATTTAACGTATGACAAGATTTAATGTCTGTAGTCCATCTGTTCTGTATATGCAGCGAATGTCTGCACACGGGTGCTAAGTGTTGATAACTATGTCTCCTGCTAATTATCACTCAGCCACGATGAAAAAAGTGATGACTGTTTTAAACTTGTAGCTATAGGTCCTATCAATCAATGTTAATCTGATTATTTAATTTACACCTTTTCATCTCAGTAAGTATTTAGAATTAAAAGCCAGATATGTGTAATTATTATTCCTTTTTAAAAACCTTACACAAATATGAAACAATATTTATCTTGCTGCTTCGATCATAAAAGCTCTAAAGAAGGTCTGACTGAAATCTTAAAGCTGATCCAGTGAGCCTCTTCCCAGATGATAAAAAGAGGAAATGGATGCCCAGCTCAGTAAATGCCATGCCCACAGCCACAGAGAAAATGCCAGGCAGAATGGTGAAAGGGGTCCTGATTTTATCACCTCAAATTTGTTTCTTCTTCCAGTGGTGACGTGCTTTCTTTCAAGGTTTACACAAAACACAAGGGGACCACTTGAGTCAGGTAAATTAGAAAAAGAAAGGATTGATTATACCACTCTGACAATTTTTTCTCCTAATTAGGTTATAAAAAATTTTAAATACATAAGCTTGGAAAAAACTCTTAAGGATCATGTTACTATTAGGAGTTACTGGCTCAACCATTTCACTTGTGATGCTCCTCACAGGCTGTAGCTTCCACAAAGCTCTAAATTGTTCCATCTTGGTCAATGAAATCCTATTGTTTACAGATGTGTTTACACCAGCATTTGAATAAATGACACAAATCTTGAAGAATGCTGTAAAGATTTCATTTTGGGGGTTCAACAAATCATACCCCTCGTGTATTACCCTTTGATAAAATTACATTTTCATGTGAATTAACTTTGAATGGTTGTAAGACAGGTGTGCCAAATTTTGAAATGGATAAGTGACAAATTGTGTCAGAGCATTTGATAGCTATAAAACATTTGAGAGATATAAAATATTCCAATAAACTACCAGCACTCTGTATTCAAGGTACATAGAGCGTTATTTGTGAGAAAAACATTTTACTGTTGAACTCAGATTAATATTTTTCAATTAGAATTTTATCTTTTTCTCCTTATAGTATAGATGGGATGACACATTAACAGATGATAAATACAAATCCAGGTTTTAATTCTTCATAAAATATCACAACTAAGTTGAACATTAACTTAAAATATTATATGACAGAGATGAAGAGACTCATCCTAATAGTTTCAATCCTAAATCATCTGATATCTCTACTTAAACTCTGTTCTAACACTATTTTTATAGTTAGTCCTACTTTCCATCTTAAAAAAATTTTACCCCTGGGCCCTCCCTGGTGGTGCAGCGGGTAAAGCACAGCACTAAGAAGCAAAAGCCACTTCGGCATGAGTTCAATCCAAGCCCCGGAGGTGACCACATGGCGCAGCAGACCTCTCCGAATGGTCCTCTGCTCCCCTCAGCAGTGTACTTCATCCATCTGCCTGTTCTGCTCCCCACTCTGTCTCTGGTGAATCCTCTCACTGCCCCTGCACCTCTGGCTTGTATCCCAGTTCTGTATGCATACATAAATAAATCTTTAAAAAATTTTAACCTTAACCTCATCAGTTTTAAAAACTGGTTTGACAGGGAGGTCAGATGAACTATAAATCAGTAATCTGGACAAAGATGATTTCAGTGCTGATAACCTATTTGCACACCAAACCTAATTGTGAGAAAGAAAAAAAGCAATTTGAATTCTTATTGAGTAAATACTTATTTATTATGAACAATGTTTTTAATGCTTTTCTGAGCATGGAATCTTCTGTAAAAAGTCATTGGCACTTATCTGAATCAGTGAAGACAGCAGCTTTGTTTGTATCCTGTTATGGACAAAATTGCCTCCTAACCCATATAGAATAACAAAGCAAGATCTGTTCCCCATACTGTGCAGTCCATTCTGTTCTGTATGGAAGTCAACTATAAAGTGCAGTTGGTCATGAAAGCCTCCCATCTTAGCCAATTTAGGCCAACTACTGGCAACTCCATTCCCATTCCCTGTCACAGACTTACCCAACTTCCTTCTGCCACCTGGTCTTTCTGCCTGCTGTGCTCTTTCTGGAATGTTCTTCCTAGCTCCACTTTCTGAATATTATCCAGTGCAAGCCCTACACTTTACATTTACTTTACCTGTGCTAGCCTATCAAGATCCCTTATTGTCTGACCACTCATCAGCAGAGATTTCAGCTCTATGTGTAAAGTTTCACAAAACATTTATGGGAAATATTATCTTTAGGGAAATATTAACTTTTGTGCTATTTTTCATGGGAAATTCTCCTTCTTTAATACGCATGAATTTCTTGATTTACATTCATTTGATTGATTCATTCATTTTTGGATATGTTCCACAGTAGTTAACATAGTAACAGACCCATCAATACAGTGACTACTTCTGAATAAAATGAAGGAGTATTGTTATGGATAACACATCAAGAGTGATGATACAAACTTAGAGAAAGATGCTGCTAAGTCTAATTATAGAGCTGCACTTACTTAACACTGTGTCCCAAGTAAATTATTAATTTGCTATGTGTTGCTCTGTTTGGTAGAGGATGAGAAGTGTATGGTGGGTACAAATTTTATGTCCATTATAGATTTAAGTTTATGGATCAGAGTAAAGTTATATTTCATCATTAAGGAAATTATAACAGAGTTTAAAATCCATGCATATTAATACAGACATTAGCTTCTATTTTCTAGTTATATTTACATTTTAATTGCTTGACTTTTACTTTTATAGGTTATCATTATTTTTGTTATTAGCATGCAGTTGACGTGTGCCTTGAACAAAATCCATTGCTAAACAAAACAGTATGTTTTTAGCTACTTCAAAAATAATGTAGCTTCCTAACAATAACTTTAGAAACTATAGCAGTTAGAGCACTTAAACTGAGAAGCTTAGATTTATGCTAAATGTTATGATAATGTTTGCATATTAGTTAGACAGTACAACTGTCAAAACATCGTATTGAGCCCAAAGTTACTTCATTTTATCCTTAATGGTTTTATTGAAGGATGAAGTACAGTCTAATCTTTTATAATGTCTTTGGAGTCACAAATTCACCTTGTTCATAGATAAATTAAAGGTCACTAACAAGTCAAAGAAAATTTGGACATTTGTTGAAACAAGTAATTTCAGATTAACAATAGGCAAAATCTGAGCTCTATGAATACATTCCAATACGAACATTCAACTTACCTCCAGTAGATGAGAATACCCACAAGAACCACTAGACAGATAAAAGTCAGGGCGGACACGATCACAAGGGGTATAACTGCCTTCTTCTCGGACTCCAGGCCCTCAGCTAGACCAATACGAGACTCATGGCTACTATTACTGGCCTCTGTAGTCAGAGAAAATTGAGAGAGTTGATATTTAAGTTTAAGGAAAAATAATAATATTTTTACCGAATAACGGCAGCCTTCATCATTGTCACTTACCTTTAAAACGTCGACTTCAAGAGGCAAAAAATATCTGTTTACAAGCCAATTTTAGTAAAACAAATACTTAAAAAGTGAGGCAGGCTATCAGAACTGAAGAACTCTAGCATCCCAAGAGACAGGCATTAGATAGGGTTGGCAGGAAGTGGGCACACTACTATCTCAGAGTTTGTTAAAGGGAAATGGGGGGAATAAAATAAGAGAACTGCCCAGTATTTATATAGAATGATCAGGGAAAACAATCCTCCCTGTTGAGTCACTGCCTATAATCTTGAGTTTCCAAAATTCATTTTAATTGAATTATTTTCAACCCTGTCATTAGGTAATTAGGTACAATTAATAAACTTCATGAAGAGAGACTCTTAAGATAAACCTTCTTACATTAGAATAACTCTTCAACTTGGCCATCTATTCAAAAATCTCTGAATAGGTTAGTTTTAAATGCTATTTTGACTTTTTGGGGGTGAGCATAATGTAACATGTACAGATGCTGACTTTTAATGATACACATCTGAAAATTGAATATTATAATGCAATGTTATTTTAATTAAAATTATATAAAAGTTAAAAAGATAAAAATGTCCTTGCATGTGAACTGAAAGATGCACAGATCTAGATTATACTTTTCAAGTATGCAGGTATAAATTTAAAAAAAATTCTGAATTATGCCCTTGGTTTAATTTTAAAAGATAATGAAAGACAATTTCATTATTTCATTTCATTTCATTCCAACCAATCAGGTACATTATGATTAAAATCACTGCAACTGAACTGATCCTTTCATGTTGTTAAAAAGTGCCAGAACTTGGGGTTATCAGTGGTTAGAAGGTCCCTTCCTTCTCCTTTAAGGTGTGTGATCTGGTAAACCATGACTGGATGTTAGAACTGCTCTAGCAGGAAGCTGACATATCACAGAATGGCTTTGGCCTGTGTTTTGAAAGATTTAAGTTCCTCATCAGAGTCTACATTGCTTCCCTCTCACCTGACACATCAATGATCTTATACTAATTATCTTACTATTATTGGTACAAGACAAAGAGAGTCCATTTGCTCTTAAAACTTAGGACTAAATTTGAAATTAATATAAATCCTAAATACATCATTGAAATATATACCTAGCTGCAAAGAATTTAAGGTTTAAACCAATAACTTTATGTATAATGGGGGGGTGATACAGATGAGCTCAAGGATTTAGTTCATTTTTCCAGGAACAGGAATTTAAACCACACCCTATTTCTTATAATTATGGATGCCCTTGCTGGGAAAACTGTTAATTCAAGTTTGATTAAAGTCATAAAACTATGTAAAAAGTAGAAATACTGTAAGTCACTTGATCTCTGAGCTGTGAATAATCATGTGAGAAATCCAAGCTGCACTTCTGATTCATCCAATGTGCTGGCCATTACACACTGAAGAGGGGCTCATTTATAAGCCAAAATAATCTGACAGTGAATAAACTGAATATGTCTTTACAAAATTTAGGAAAACAGATGGTTTCATATACACCATTGTCTTCATATATTTTTTATTGTTAGCTAAATGGAAAATTTGTAGGTAATAAATGAAATAACCCAGGTAACTAGGTCCTTAGTATCTGGAAATTACAAATAATGTTATCTATGTCATTCTTGAAGTGTGGTTCTCAGAGTAGCAAAAATGGCATCATCTGGAAGTTGTTAAAGATTTAGACTTTGGGTCCCCCAGCAACCAGCCCAAATCTACTTACTCAGATTCTCTGAGTTGGATTCAGCAAGTTTTGCTTTACCATGTCTTTCAGGAGACTTTGATCCACATTAAAATCTGATATTAGTTTAAATACTAAGTGAGATTGTATGATACATTTTTCAGTGACAAGTATTCAGAACAATATGTATATAGGTGTATATACAGTTATAGAAAATCTCACTTATATAAATGCATGTATATATGTGTGTCTGATCATGTATGTGATATATGGGTAAATGGGGCAGGTTACTTATACATATGTACTGTATATATCTCTGCAGGCACATGTTCTAGTAGGTAGATTTTTTTGTAAATTCTCTCAGAGGCTTGATTGTAAAATAAATCTTCTAGTTGAGGGTTTAGGATGATCATTCCATGGTAATTCTATTTTACTTAACTTAGGTTTTTTACACAAGATGAGATCCACAGAAAGTACATTAAACTGATTGCTTTAGAATCTTATAACAAGGAATATCTAATTGTAGTGATTCTTGATAAAGATCAAAATAGCTATTCTGATATGACTTGTAGTGTAAATCAGTTTCCTGAAAGATACAACAAGAATCTTCTAAGAGAGAGTTAAAAAATAAAGACAAGATTAATATTTTAAAATGCTTTGAAATCCAAAGGTATTATTTTGGTATTACAAATTAAATATAATGTATATTTATTGTCCTCAATTGTGAGACCATCATGTCCGGGAGAGACACAACCAATACACATTTTAGTCTCAACTCCTATGTGACCTGGGTCAACCAATATAGGATCTTTGCGTGTCTGTTTACACATTCCTAAATTATAGGTACTAATATTTGCTTTACGTATATTATTTTGAGGAGCATGTCTTATAAATTAACTTACATTCTAGAAATGGATAATAGCATTTCAAAATTAGTCTTATATGCATTTGCTAATGAAGCTTATTTCGTTGTTAAATAAGAAAGACTATATATGATTTTTTTTTACAGGAATAGTTTTAAAAACAGGCAAGAATGTTTGTCTAATCCTGTTTGATCTTATTTACTTCATTAAGTATGCTACTTGATGTTAAATGTTATATTAATATTGATTTCATCACTTTGAGAACATACTGTTAATAATTAAACTTAGTGGTTTGAATAAAAATTACTAGGCTTTAGTCAATTTTCAGTTATATATTTTGCAATACTGTCACTACATAATAAAACAGAAAAGTGGGTGGATTTGTGCTATTTTCCTTTAAGATAAACATAATAAAAACGAAAACCAGGTATCATAATTAAAGTCAGATAACAATTCATATATATGACAACACTAATGAAAATAGTGACTTATGGATTCATTATTCATTCTCACATATTAGAGTGTAAGAGTTTATGGAATGAAATGTTAAATGTTAAGTAGGTAGCAGGTCACAATGTAGAAAAACTTCTTTATAAAAATGTACAAACTTCTATTGCACTGAAGGAAAAATAGACTAACTCAAGGATGGAAGTAACAAAGAGGAAAAACATCCTAATGAGACTGGTGTCTTTGTTCTGGAAAATAAATATCAAGTATGATAGAGAATGTAATATTACTTTAGTGTCTTTTTGTCAAGACATTGCAAAATGTCTTAAAATTTAATAAGAGTAAAAATAAAATTCTCACAACCAATTCAATGAAATTATCTAGTATTTCATATGCTTAATGGCACTGAATTTCCTCCCCCCCCCACTGGAATTTAAAGTAAAAGGTATTATTTATATGCTGCAAGTAGTCTAACATCTGGCTAATAAATCAATTTGCATAAAACATTAACAAATGAAATGCACTTCTACAGAAAATGTTCTAGTGTTTTACATCTTGTCATAAAATACCTATACATTCTATGCATATTAATTCCCATTTTTAATCTCCTAGAATGGTATGTAACAGCAAGTGCAAAGTAGAATGTTTTGTTAGTTCACACTGCCCTCTTTAGGCAACACTAAGACAATTAAACAAAACCAATTTCTTAAAATTAAAAGCTTAAAACCTTACCACTATGTTTTAAATCTTAGAAATAAAAAGTTATTTTTTTTAATCTTCTCAAGTTGATGTGGATATGAAAATTATCTAGTTCCTTTCCATAGGGTGGGTCAGAGAGAGATGCTCATGTCATATTTCTCTGAGTTTATAATTCATGTGATAATTCAATAGGGTTATCTTACAACTTATTCCAGAACATAAATAGGAAAAAATCATCTGAAAACAGTACACTACAGTCTACCATGTAAAACAAAGGACACAAAAAAATGTATCAAGCACACATAATTGCTCCCACATGTGTAACAATTGTATAGACTATGAAACAATGACAAAAAAATTTTGGAGAAGATTAAATAAGGACTAAAACATGTTGTGTCTTCTTTTGGAATAATGAATAAAATCATATTTTCAAACTATAAAAATTGACTTGTGGGATAGGTGACTAAAAAAAATAATGTCCCATTTTACCAAATTTCTATCTTTCTATGATTCTTCTAATTTCTGGGGGAATATGTACCAGACCTATCTCTTTGATTCATAACTAACCTGCCTCTGAAATCTTGAACACTTCTGAGTGCCCGTTAGTAACAGTTGGTGTGGAGGCCTGTGGGGATCCGGGAGTTATTTCTGAGTCACCTGCTTCTGAGACCCCATCAACATCTCTTTCGTTAACATCTGGGAAACTGAAATCTGTGGACGTCTCATTCTCATTCAGGCTATCTGAGGTAGTTTGCCCTGATCCACTCTCTTTATCACTTGAGAGTGCTGCCCAGGCTTTTGATTCTGGGGTGAAAGGCAGTCGGTCATTACCAGTCTGAACGCCATTTTCCTGTTCCCCATCATTGTGTTTTGGGGCTGGTGCATTTGTTGGTGATTTCTCAGGATTTCTGTCCACAGCAGTCTGACTGTGTGAAGTTACACTTGTGACTTTATTTTCTTCTTCAGAACTCTCAGATAGTGAGTATGAGTTTAGGCTATTCTGATTCACAAGACTGTTTTCCTGAGTGTCTGAATCATTCATTGCCTTTTCCTGGGGTTCTCTATAGGAGATGCATGACATACACTTATTTATTGATAAGCCATCACTATCTCGGTCGTCATAATCATCATCCTCGTAATCCTCAATATCACCCTTGTCACCGCCACCCACTAAATAAGTGTCAGATCTGGCACTGTGGGTCAGTTCAGAAGTTGTTTTAGAAGGAAACAGCAACTGGGTGGTGGAGACAGAACTGTCTCTTTTGGGAGAAACAGCTGTAATGGAAACATAGGCATTTCCTAAAGGAACTGAATGATCAGAGATGACAAGAGCCTCGGGAACAATGGTTGGGATACCAGCAAATAGCTTATCTGTAATAGAACCCTTGGAGGAGGAGAAAACGTCATCAGAATATATAAGCCTATTTATAAGTGTATTTGGTGGTACATCAATGGATAAAACGGGAGTAGCAAATGCATGCCTTCCTTCTGGGGGAAAGGCATGGCTCATCTCCAAATTGGCAGTTTGGAACAATGAAGGCGCCACTTGCTGGGAACTTTCACCTTTTAGCAAAACTGGTTCAAAGTATTTCTCATTTGCATAGGAAATGGTTAAACCTTGAAGTGAAGCAGTGTGCAGAGAAGAAGGCGATACATCAAACTCTGGTAGAGATGAAGAGGGCAGCATGTGTTCACTCGAAGCAGAATTTGATGCCAGGAGATGCAATATTGTAGAACTAATTTGATCAACCTTGGGGGTTTCAAACAATATTGGATCACTAGGCACAGCTGGAAGAGCAGTTTTAAGCAATGCATCAGTATCAGAAGCCTGAGAGGAAGGCTGCAGCAAAACTTCAGTATTAAAAGAAGCCAGGGCCTCATGAAATAAGAGCTGAGTTGAAGAGGAGAACATTTTACTAGAAGCAGGGTCAAAGGCTGCTGGCTCTGAGTTTGCACTAAGCACGGGTTTAGGCAAAGTGTCACCAAATGCTTTAGATACATCATGTGCATGTTGAACTGAAAAGTTGTTTTCTGGAACTTGGCTAATCTCATGATCAAAACTCTTAGTGGCTGTATAAGCAGAAGACCCTGGAAATAAGCCCTTTGTACTAGAAATGGAACGAGGGAATTCCTGTTTCGACTTATTTACATGATCATGTGGATCAGGCATGACTGTACTTTCAGGATGGTACATCAGCTCACTGAAAGAAGACATTTTCAGTTCAGTCTCATTTCCATGGATTATGTCACCTTTAGGAAGTTTGTTATCATCACCAAACACAGATGTTGCATAGGTAAGTTCAGCTACAGAAATGGGTGAAGAAACATTAAGGGCCATCAGGCCATCTGTGTCAGGTAACAGAAGTTCACTATCAGAGGAGGCTCCAGACCACTCCCCATCCCCAGAGAGGCCGTGAGTAGGCTGTAGCTGTGATGTGGACTGGGTTATTAATGAAAACTCAGGCACTGGCCTCTGGCTAGGGCTGCTAAGTAAGGGCCCCTGATGAGATAGATCAGCTGAACCATGCACAGGTATTGCAGAACCATAAGAAATAGTGAAGAGGTGTTGGGACCCCTCAGGATTAGATAAGGCATAAGAAGCTTCAAGCCCTGATGAGTGTGCATGCATCACATCACTGTTGGAGGGTTCAACTTGAGAAAGTATAAGTGTTTTATAAGGGACACCTGATTCACCACCACCAAATTCCAAGGTCGCGGAAACAGCAGGAGTAGTGACCTGATGTGATACCACATCAGTAGTGACCTGATGTGTGCCATCAGAATACTGAACCAGGCTAGGCTCTAATAGTAAATCATCCCCAGCCACTGGCAGAGAAGCATGCAGGGACAACTTATCAGTGTCAACAGCTGTAGTAACTTGTGGAAGGATTTGAGAGACTGTATACAGATGGTGAAGCAATTCACTACTGAAGGAAGCAGAAGAAAATGGAAGCAGAGGCGCACCATCATAGGAAGACAGGATGGATTCAAATGACATATCAACACTGGGGAATACAGGCGTAGCATGCAAGGCCGAATCACTACTTGAAGCAGCGGGGGTAGTGTTGAGGATCTGATTGTCAAGCAACAAAGGGGTAACTAGAGGAAAGACTTCACTACTGTAGGAAGTTTGAAGAGGTGTCTCACCGTTGTATACTGGTTGGGTTGTCTGCGAGTATACCATGTTGATGGTGGGGGCGGAATCATGTTGTCCAGAGGATGGAGTGAAAGGGTGAGGAGTTACCTCAGTCGGGAAGTAGGCCAAGGTAGAATAAGGTGGCATTTCCAGATCTGTGACAGAGGGACCTTGTGACACCAGTGAACCCAGAGGAGAAGACTCACTTGTCTTCTTAAACTCATCAACCGGTAGACCTGACAAAGAGGACTCAGTGGCCTTCTTAGGCTCACCAACAAGTAGACCTGAAGAAGAGGACTCAGTGGCCTTCTTAGGCTCATCAACTGGTAGTCCTGAAGAAGAGGACTCAGTGGCCTTCTCAGGCTCATCAACTGGTAGACCCGAAGAAGAGGACTCGGCGGCC